GGGATTTCTTATAAGCGTCCGGTTTAGAGTCCCGTTCCTTGAAAGCGGCAGCTCTACCCTTTAGCTCAGTGCGGATGTTTCCTGTAATCCATGGCTTCTGGTTGGGGTATGTACGTACGGTCACTGTGGGGACGACATCATCGATGCACTTATTGATGAAGCCAGTGACTGATGTGGTGTACTCCTCAATGCTGTCTGAAGAATCCCGGAACATGTTCCAGTCTGTGCTAGCAAAACAGTCCTGTAGCTTAGCATCTGCGTCATCTGACCACTTTTTTATTAACCGAGTCACTGGTGCTTCCTGCTTTAGTTTTTGCTTATAAGCAGGAATCAGGAGGATAGAGTTATGGTCAGATTTGCCAAATGTAGGGCGAGGGAGAGCTTTGTATGCGTCTCTGTGTGTGGAGTAAAGGTGGTCTAGAGTTTTTTTTCCTCTGGTTGCACATTTAACATGCTGGTAGAAATTAGGTAGAACGGATTTAAAGTTTCCCTGCATTAAAGTCCCCGGCCACTAGGAGCGCTGCATCTGGATGAGCGTTTTCCTGTTGATTTATGGCCTTGTACAACTCATTCAGTGCAATCTTAATGCCAGCATTGGTTTGTGGTGGTAAATAGACAGCTATGAAAAATATAGATGAAAACTCTCTTGGTAAATAGTGTGGTCTACAGCTTATCATAAGATACTCTACCTCAGGCGAGCAAAACCTCGAGACTTCCTTAGTATTTGATTTTGTGCACCAGCTGTTGTTTACAAATATACACAGACCGCCACCCCTTGTCTTACCGGAGTCAGCCGTTCTATCCTGCCGATGTAGCGTATAGCCCGCTAGCTGTATGTTATCATTGTCGTCGTTCAGCCACGACTCGGTGAAACATAGGATATTACAGTTTTTACATTTGTGACCAAGCTTTAACTTCCTGACTGATGTCTTGAGATGTTGCTTCAATATATCCACATAATTTTCCTACCTCATGATGCCATCTATTTTGTGAAGTGCACCAGTCCCTCCTGCAGCAAAGCACCCCCACAGCATGATGCTGCCACCCCCGTGCTTAACGGTTGGGATGGTGTTCTTCGGCTTGCAAGTAACCTCTTTTTTCCTCCAAACATAACGATCGTCAAACAGTTATATTTTTGTTTCATCAGACCAGATTACATTTCTCCAAAAAGTACTGTCTTTGTCCCCATGTGCAGTTGCAAACCGTAGTCAGGCTTTTTTATGGCGGTTTTGGAGCAGTGGCTTCTTCCTTGCTGTGCGGCCTTTCAGGCTATGTCGATATAGGACACGTTTTACTGTGGATATAGATACTTTTGTACCTGTTCTTCCAGCATCTTCACAAGGTCCTTTGCTGTTCTGGGATTGATTTGCACTTTTCGCACCAAAGTACGTTAGTCTCTATGAGACAGAACGCGTCTCCTTCCTAAGCGGTATGACGGCTGCGTGGTCCCATGGTGTTTATACTTGCGTACTATTGTTTGTAAAGATTAACGTGGTACCTTCAGGCGTTTGGACATTGCTCCCAAGGATGAACCAGACTTGTGGAAGTCTACCATTTATTTTCTGAGGTCTTGGTTGATTTCTTTTGATTTTCCCATGATGTCAAGCAAAGAGGCACTGAGTTTGAAGGTAGGCCGTGAAATACATCCACAGGTACACCTCCAATTGACTCAAATGATGTCAATTAGCCTATCAGAAGCTTCTAAAGCCATGACATCATTTTCTGGAATTTTCCAAGCTGTTTAAAGGCACAGTCAACTTAGTGTATGTAAACTTCTGACCCACTGGAATTGTGATACAGTGAATTATAAGTGAAATAATCTGTCTGTAAACAATTGTTGGAAAGATTACTTGTGTCATGCACAAAGTAGATGTCCTAACCGATTTACCAAAACTGTAGTTTGTTAACAAGAAATGTGTGGAGTGGTTGAAAAACTAGTTTTAAAGACTCCAACCTAAGTGTATGTAAACTTCCGACTTCAACTGTACATGTAGGTAGAGTTTTTAAAGTGACTATGCATAGATAATAAACAGAGAGTAGCGGCAGCGTAAAAGAGGGGTGGGGGGGGGGGCAATGCAAATAGTCTCGATAGCCATTTGATTAGATGTTCAGGAGTCTTATGGCTTGGGGTAGAAGCTGTTTAGAAGCCTCTTGGACCTAGACTTGGCGCTCCGGTACCGCTTGCCATGTGGTAGCAGAGAAAACAGTCTATGACTAGGGTGGCTGGAGTCTTTGACAATTTTTAGGGCCTTCCTCTGACACCGCCTGGTATAGAGGTCCTGGATGTCAGGAAGCTTGGCCCCAGTGATGTACTGGGCCGTACGCACTACCCTCTGTAGTGCCTTGCGGTCGGAGGCCGAGCAGTTGCCATACCAGGCAGTGATGCAACCAGTCAGGATGCTCTCGATGGTGCAGCTGTAGAACCTTTTGAGGATCTGAGGAACCATGCGAAATATTTTCAGTCTCCTTAGGGGGAATAGGTTTTGTCGTGCTCTCTTCACTACTGTCTTGGTGTGCTTGGACCATGTTAGTTTGTTGGTGATGTGGACACCAAGGATTTTGAAGCTCTCAACCTGCTCCACTACAGCCCCGTCGATGAGAATGGGGGCATGCTTGGTTCTCTTCTTTTTCCTGGAGTCCACAATCATCTCCTTTGTCTTGATCACGTTGAGGGAGAGGTTGTTGTCCTGGCACCACACGGCCAGGTCTCTGACCTCCTCCCTATAGGCTGTCTCGTCGTTGTCAGTGATCAGGCCTACCACTGTTGTGTCGTCGGCAAACTTAATGATGGTGTTGGAGTCAACACATCTGCCACGCTGATCCGCAATACAGGGGCCCCTCAGGGGTGCGTGCTCAGTCCCCTCCTGTACTCCCTGTTCACCCATGACTGCATGGCCAGGCACGACTCCAACACCATCTTTAAGTTTGCTGAAGAAATTACAAGTCCTCACTGTCGGAGACCGAGTCAAGACCGAGTACAAATGTATATGACACCGAGACAAGACCGAAACACTCAAGATGTGGTCTCGAGTAGGCTACCACAACACTAGGTCAGAGTATGTAAGCTGAGCAGAGCTGGAGCGGAGCGTGCCTAATCAGTTTGACTGGAGCGCAGAGCGAGATTCCCAAAGGCTGGAGCATCGGCCTTCTCGCCCACTCAAATTTCGCTCCAGTAGTGCTCACTTCACGAGCTCAGGGCATGCCTGGCCCAGCATGCATTTGTAGTGTACTTGTGTGCTGCTATAGCCCCTTGTTTTGCTACTGTCATGGAGTTGGCTAAATATTTTCATAAATAAACTGATAAAAACACACAGGTGCTAAATCAATGTGACTTACAAAGATGAGGACCAAGAGCAAGAGAGGGAGTGCAGTGATGTAGTGTCCACAACTAACGAATCATTGTGGAATCTGAAAAGACACATATCCCGAAAGCATGATGGTGCATGTGCACATGCTAAAAGAAAGGAACGAGGTGGGTAGTTAACTAAGTGTGAAACTAAAAATCAGATCTCTTACAAGTTTCGTAAATGTTTGTTCTATTATCTATACAATAGGCCGTAATTGAGGACGCAGGGGAACCTGACTACACCCCTGTGTTAGGTGTGACACAGGCACCCAAACCTTACAAAGTAGTTGTGAAGCTAAGAAGTAGCCAGTAAGGCTGAGCACCATACTCTGCTTGTCGCTCCATTGTGTCCTCCTCCCAGAGTGCAAAGAACCTTGGCGTGACCCTGGACAACACCCTGTCGTTCTCTGCTAACATCAAAGCGGTGACCCGATCCTGCAGGTTCATGCTCTACAACATTCGCAGAGTACGACCCTACCTTACACAGAAAGCGGCACAGGTCCTAATCCAGGCACTTGTCATCTCCCGTCTGGATTACTGCAACTCGCTGTTGGCTGGGCTCCCTGCCTGTGCCATTAAACCCCTACAACTTATCCAGAACGCTGCAGCCTGTCTGGTGTTCGACCTTCCCAAGTTCTCTCATGTCACCCCGCTCCTCCGCACACTGCACTGGCTTCCAGTTGAGGCTTGCATCTACTACAAGACCATGGTGCTTGCCTATGGAGCTGTGAGAGGAACGGCACCTCCTTACCTTCAGGCTCTGATCAGACCCTACACCCAAACAAGGGCACTACGTTCATCCACCTCTGGCCTGCTAGCTCCCCTACCTCTACGGAAGCACAGTTCCTGCTCAGCCCAGTCAAAGCTATTTGCTGCTCTGGCACCCCAATGGTGGAACAAGCTCCCCCACGACACCAGGACAGCGGAGTCACTGACCACCTTCCGGAGACACTTGAAACCCTACCTCTTTAAGGAATACCTGGAATAGTATAAAGTGCTGACTGCTGATATTACTTTCCTTGCGTTTCTAAGGGTCATCTAACAGTCAGTCAGGCAAGCTTATTCATTTGTATCAATTAAATTGTTGGATTTCACAAATATGAACAGCTCACTCGTGTTCCAGGTTGGTTGTATCTGTGAACATGGGCCATAGTAGGATACACAGATTGAGTATGGCCCATTTAGTAGGCTATGCAGTATGCACACACAGACAGCCTTGTATCTGGATGAAAGGTTTTGTATTGTGGTGAATGTTTAACAATCAAGGGTTTTTGTTTGTTGACATTTTAATAAAGTTCAGAGTCTGACTTCCCTCCCACCCTCCATGCCATTTACTGAGTTATTGTGGTTACTGAGTGCATTGATAAAAAAAATCCAAAGGTCTACAAGAGCATATAGACTATAAGAGAAGAATTTGCCACAGTTGTTAGAGATACAAATAATAAGTAGATGTAGGCTATTTTCACATTAGGCTATATACTATATATTTCAATGATAAATACAGTCAGAAAAAGTAAGAAAATTAAGGGGGGTAATAAAAGTTTCATCACAATGACCAACCATGCCGAAAGAAACTTTATAAAATAAAAATATATATTTATTTGTGCTTTGACATGACAATATAGTACTGCGACATGACGTCAAAGATGCGACACACGTGGTTACGGAAATGAACACATGCCAATAGCGTAAGCTTTCTGGAATCTACTTTGTGTGAAATTATTCGTGAAATACACTAATATTTGAGTTGTCCAACAGCACAGTTTCTTGGACAGCATGGCAACAGATGCTAAAAGACTCAAGGTAGAGATATGGTTTATTTTGCTAAGCTACATACTTGCCAGCGATGTTGGAAAACGCGTTGTTGCTAGTGATGCGACTAGCTAGCTAGCTCTTGGGTACACGATTTCAAGTTATGAATGCTAGCTAGCTTGCAAGTTACCAACCCTTAGGATTAAGTAACTAGCTAGCTAGGTGAATAAGAATATTTGATAGTGCAGTTTTTTCACGTGTCAATATGTTTAATCCTACCAGCCTGCATCATTGGTTATTGTGGTTCGCTGTAGCTCAGCTGGTAGAGCACGGCGCTTGTAACGCCAAGGTAGTGGGTTCGATCCCCGGGACCACCCATACACAAAAATGTATGCACGCATGACTGTAAGTCGCTTTGGATAAAAGCGTCTGCTAAATGGCATATTATTATTATTATTATTTGTTTCCTGTGTAGACAGAGGGCAGCGACCCTCTCCAGAGCTTCCTGCAGTGGTGTGAAGGAGTGGGGCTGAAACTCAACAACAAGGTAATCAGAAAGTGTATAAAGACATTGTCTGCAATTTGTAAAAAGCCCTATACTTCAAAGACCTACGGGAGTAGTCCCCTGTAGCTCAGTTGGTAGAGCATGGCGCTTGCAACGCCAGGGTTGTGGGTTCGTTTCCCACAGGGGGCCAGTATGAAAAAAAAAATGTATGCACTCACTAACTGTAAGTCGCTCTGGATAAGAGCGTCTGCTAAATGACTAAAATGAGTATTGGGGGTGGAACTATTGCTGTGGGTTCTGTGTTAATGGTCATTCAGTTGTGTTTATTCTCTAAGGTGTACATCAGCAAGGAGGGCACAGTGGCAGAGTATGGCATGCTGGCTAAGGAGGACATAGATGAGGGAGAGTTGCTCTTTACTATACCCAGAACGGCTCTTCTTCAGCAAGGCACCACCAAGGTCCTGGCTGTGCTGGAGGAGGGTGAGACTGCAACACACACACACACATACACACACCTCTTGTCGGAGGCCTCCAAAGAAAACATCTGGTCCTCCCTAGGTAAAGCATCTCTGGAGAACACGTCCGGCTGGGTACCCCTCCTCCTGGCTCTGATGTATGAGTACACATCTCCCCAGTCCCACTGGAGGCCTTACCTATCCCTCTGGCCTGACTTCACAGCTCTGGATCACCCCATGTTCTGGTAAGGGCAAACACATACAGTATGTTCTAATATTCTTGAGTTGAGTAAACTTTTGCATTTGAGTATTCTGAGTTGTATTTTGTGGATGTGATTTGTAGGTCAAAGGATGAGCGGGACAGACTCCTGAAGGGGACAGGGATCCCAGAGGCGGTGGACACTGACCTCACCAACATCCAGAAAGAGTACAAAGACATCGTCCTACCTTTCATCACGTTACACCCTGACCTGTGGGACCCAGCGAGACATACACTGGACCTCTACAGAAGCCTGGTGGCTTTTGTCATGGCTTACAGGTATGGCTGCATGGCTCAGGCACCAAGGAAAGTATGAGGAGGAGTGGGATGACTGCCTTTCTACTAAGCTGCTTGTACATTTATGATTTTGTCATTTCTCGCAACATATATTGCAGAGGTCTTCACGGGTTTAAAAAGTTGGACCCGTTCTGAACTTGATCCGTGGCTTTCCCACACGACCAGATATGCATAAATTAAAACATTGTAAAACCGAGATCTGTTCAGAATGGACCTGAGGACAGTCAGACCAGTTCCAAAAGGGCCTGTGGAAAAACAGACCCCCCCCCCCCCCCCCCCCCCCCGATGTGTAGCATATTCAAAATGTTATAACCTATTGTTACTTTCCTAAAACAATAATTGTCCACCTCAAGGTTCAGCTGTCAGAGATTTGAGTGCTAAATACATAATCAAGGCATTGCATGCATATAGGCATCCACTGTATGATATTAATACTTAAAATATAAAGCAAGAGAAGCCCTAGAGAGACCAAGAGAAAGATAGAGATATGCCAGCGGCATATTCCCGACACCGACATGCATTTCTTTATACTACTGCTATAGAGATATAGGCGTACAGAAGGAGGCTAATTCGTTAATTTTCTATCCAAATATTTTTTAAATAAATATAAAGCATTATATGGTTAGATTAAAGGAGTAACTCTGGTAGGCCTAAAACATTCTTCCTCGCCTCAAGTTCAACTGTTAGTCAGTTGGAACGCTGTTGCGCACTGCCTTCATAGGCCTGCATAGCTAAGCCTAATAAAAGCCATAACACACTAAACCTAAGTCATGTCATTGGGAAAATACAAACAGGTTATTATATTGCATCTTGCCCTCTTTTGGTTTTTCCTTTTCATGGTGTGAGTGTGATTAGGCCTAATGGTAATTCTATTATATTGCGGCTAACACATGAACTTAATTTGGCCAAAGAAAATGGCTCAACAGACTTAAACAAAACACAGGTTGCAAAGCCTATTTAAAGAACTGGTTTAAACCTTCACAAAGGTTTTGAACAGGCTAGGCCTATCTTGCTGAAATTACCAACAAAGCGAGTGCCTACCGTAGGTCTACCCAATAAATTACAGCAATAGGCTAATGCTTTTTGTTTTACAACAGGCCTACTTTTAACCTTCAACTAAATACGTAGAACAAAATTAAAAAGACAGGTCGAACATAATTTTGTCAACAAAAATGTATCAACAAAATGAAACACTTTTTTTTATATATATAAAGAACTGGTTTAGATTCTTAAATATGCCTACAATAATAATAATGATAAAACAAATGATAATAGATACGAAAATAAATAAAAGTTAGAAAAATGTTGGACCCGTGAAGACCTTACACTTCAGAGGTGCAAAATGTAAAAGTTGACAGTACTTCTATGTATAGATCAATATCTTTGTATTTACAATTTAAACCCATATTTGTATTATTCATTTTACACAAATCACTGATAAAGCTGAAGTGTAACTGGATAACCAAGCTAAGGAACAGCAACTTATTAAAACTTTGCAGATGTGTTTTGGGGGAAGCAGGCTTGTTTCTGGCAGCATACATGCAACCCAGATTCTCCATAATATTCCTTCAAATAACATTTTATTTGCCACATGCACCGAATACAACAGGTGTAGACATTACCATGAAATGCTTACTTACAGCCCTTAACCAACAATGCATTTATTTTTAAATAAAAAAGTAAAATAAAACAACAGTGTTGAGAAAAAAAGAGCAGAAGTAAAATAAAATAACAATATGGAGGCTATATACAGGGGGGTACCGGTGCAGAGTCAATGTGCGGGGGCACCGGCTAGTTGAGGTAATATGTACGGTACATGTGGGTAGAGTTAAAGTGACTATGCATAAATAATTAAGAGGAGCAGCAGTGTAAAAAGATGGGGTGGGGGGGCAGTGCAAATAGTCCAGGTAGCCGTGATTAGCTGTTCAGGAGTCTTATGGCTTGGGGGTAGAAGCTGTTGAGAAGTCTTTTGGACCTAGACTTGGCACTCCGGTACCGCTTGCCGTGCGGTAGCAGAGAGAACAGTCTATGACTAGGGTGGCTGGTGTCTTTGACATTTTTGAGGGCCTTCCTCTGACACCGCCTGGTATAGAGGTCCTGGATGGCAGGAAGCTTGGCCCCAGTGATGTACTGGGCCATACGCACTACCCTCAAAAGCCACTCCTGTGATTGGGAGATGATTTCCACACACCACAACCCTCTTGTGTGATTGGGTGATTTCCACACACCACGGAACCTAACATAGCAGGTGTAAAATAAACACCCGAAACTAGTTCCTCTAGTCTACATACTGGTCTGTCAGGAGGTATTCTTCTGCACTGTTCAACCAATCCAGTAAAGGTGGAGGAGTAACGCCTTGTTAATGTCCAAATGTGAAAGTCCTGTGACTATCATCACAGGCTCTTTTCCATTTCCCCTGAAAACCGTAACGTCCGGTTGTTGGGGACTCGGCAGAGGCTACACCCCAGGTGAGACCAGTGTTTTACTATACAGTACTATGAGGAAAAACTTAATGGCTGTTTAAACAACATTCACCTTCTCCCTCATTACTTGTCCTGCTTCATGGTCCATTACGCTTTGGAGTTGATTTACTTTTCAAGGATTTGTCCTATTTCAGTGTTTTGACGCTTTTGCAGTGCTACTGATTCTCTTCGAAGTGCTGATCAGCTTGCTGTTTGGGCCTGAATATAATCCAATCTGTTTCTCATTTCCTCCCTTTCTTCCCCTGCAGTTTCCAGGAGCCCCTGGATGAGGATGAGGAGGATGAGAAGGACCCCAATCCCCCCATGATGGTGCCCATTGCGGACATGTTGAACCATGTGTCAAATCACAACGCCAATCTGGAGTACACACCTGTGAGTAAAACACTCCTACATTCGGTTCACGAATCCTATATAGTGGGTGTATAGCAAGAATATGATATGTCCTTTTTCTCTCTGCATTCACAGGAGTGTTTGAAGATGGTGTCAGTGCGAAGTATCCGGAAAGGAGAGGAAGTGTTCAACACATATGGCCAGATGGCCAACTGGCAGCTCCTACACATGTATGGCTTTGCCGAGCCATATCAAAGCAATAGCAACGACACTGCAGACATACCCATGTCCAATGTATACAAAGCAGCTGTGCAAGGTGACTACTGATCAGACATGCTGTCTAGGGGTGGATAGACAACTGACACACATTTTGTTAATGCACTACACATACTGAATCAACCCAAATTAGAGCCCACACTTCTAAATTATCCTTATGGTTTTACTTTAACACGTTCATCTGTTTCTGCCACATCTCAGTGACTCGGTCTGAAGCTGAACAGCGCCTCCTGGTGGAGAAGTGGAGTCTGTTGTGTGAGATGGAGATGGTGGGAGACAAGGGAGTCTTTATCTTCGGAAAGTCAGGGTCCCTCACCGACACAGAGATGTACACAACACTCAAGGTAACCATGACAAACACTAGAGCGCATAGTTGTATATTCAAGACTATCCAGTATACATTGCTGTTTGCCTCTCCCTAGATCCTGTGCATGTCAGTGGAGGAGTTTGAGGACTTCAGAGAGAACGAAGGCTGGGAGGAGGCAGATGATGACGACGAGGAGAAAATGTTGCAGGCACTCTCCAACGAGGGTCTGCCTAGTCTGCCCCCTCTCTGGAGGCGTCTGGTGCACGCTGCAGCCCGCTTCACACTGGACTCCTACGGGGAGGACATGCAGAAGGACAAGGTGCTGCTGGAGGATAAAGATGGCTATGCTAAACTGAGCAGCCGGCAGAGGAGAGCACTGCAGGTCCGCTACGGCCAGAAGACTATCCTGCACCAGCTTCTGGAGCTCACCAAACCATGAATAACCACTGAATCCATGCCAAAGCACTCCCTGATTTATGACCTCCACTCAAAACAAGCCTAAAGGGGCTAGGCCTAGCCACTGGCTATTGTAACTGAACATATTTGGAAAACACAACTGATTTAACTGTATCCTTGTGAATTTGTATGAGACTGATGAGCTATGGCTTCGAGACTGTTGGAAGTACTGCTCCATACAAGGTCCTTCACGGGTCACTAAGTTACCCAAACCGGCAATGGACTGCAGCTGTCGCGTGAACTGCTCATGTTAAACATTACATATCGTTTTACCTGTTGTAATGTACATTGTCATGTTTTGCATAATAAAATTAAAACAGCAGTCTTTGTCATCGGAGGGAAAAAAACAAATGCAGTTCAATTGTTTAATGAGTTTAACTACAGTATGCATACATACAGGAAATAAGTAGCAAGAACTAAAGGCAACTATAAAGGACTACAAAATACAACACACGGACCAATACATTTACAAAACATTCAAAATCCTTACAAAATGGGCTGTATTGGTCCTTTTGTTCTACAATTTGGATCTTTGTACAAATGTTAAGGTTCAATTCCCCATCTGAAATTTAACAATTTTACAAGTTCCGGGGAGAACCTAACCCACTTTAAAATGGAAAGACCATTGCCCCCACCACACCCCAAACAGATAAAGGAGTGAACCCATGAGAGAATCTAGTGCACTGCCTTTCTCCCACTCAAAAAAAAGAAAAAAATCAAAAACCAGGCTGCTTTTTTAAATCCACTAGCCATTAAGCCTCAACGCAAATAAATCAGTCATGAAATCTGTAGGAGGGAGACAAACAGGGCTTTGGTAGTGAGTGAATGTGTGTCTGTACACGTCTTCTTTACATGTTAGATCATTTGTTGGACACTCCTTTCAGACATGTAGCTCTATCTCCCTTTTAATATTTACATCAAAATTATATTAAACAGCATTTAACTTCTCCATATCCAGACCAAAACAAAACTCTTAGATCCAGGAGCAGCAGTCCTTAAACTTCAAATCAGCATTGCCAGTTCATCCAGTGCTAACAGTAATGTAGGGGGGGGGGGGCATCTGTGGGGTGGGTCCAGGGATGGAGGGTTTGGCCCTAGCATCTCTCCTGCAGGCTGGCTGACTAACTGGCACCAGTGCCCTCCATCACCTGCTGAGCCTGCTTTTGCCCCATGCAGCACTGAGCCACTGACTGGAACAACCTGAGAGAGAGAAGATAGCGGAGGGCGTTTAATCCAAGTCCTTCCACTGCAGCTTATCTTAGAATGCTATTTCTTTTTTGTTGTTGAATAAAGCAGAAAATGAACACAACGTGCTACTAACTGGTTATCCTCCAGCTACTACTCTGCAGGTGAAGTCATCTCAGCTGAGTGAGAAGCCAACTCTGGTAGAGAGTGAATGAGCACATACTTTTCAATCTCCGGGGCACAGTGCACAAAGTCGTGGCTCCAGAACTTGAATGCAGGGTTCTTGATGAGCTCGATGAAGGTGATGAGCAGTCCCCAGGGGTGAGGCCTGTTCACAATCAGCCTCTCCAGAAGAACCCTACAGACAGGAGCAAAGGCTTGTTAACGATTATAAACACTTGGAAAGGAAACGGATCCATAAAATGCAGGTAGTTCTGCAATGCCTGGTCTTCATATGCAAGACTTCTTTGTAGATAACTAGAGAACAATATTTACCTGGTGATCTGCTCCTGGATTGCCTCTGTGTTGGCCTCAGCAAACAGGTAGAGCATGGTGCAGCTGAAGTAATGGGTGTGGCTGTTTGGGTAGCGCAGCTGATTAGCAATCGCATTCAGGAAAAGATAGCGCCCTGGGAACAGAGGAACGAGAGAATGATGAGAACACCACCCTGTATACAAAAAATAAAATAAAAAATAGTATGCTTTCGTGTGTGTGTGTCTTACCCTCAGTGTCCAGGTCCACAGCCAGGTTCTGGAAGATGTCCATGTGGGCTGAGTGAGTGATGGTGCTCATGGAGGGAGTGCTGCCCTTGTTGTGGATGTGTGCGATGGCCTGGGTCCCCACGTACAGCACCAGTGCATTGATCAGCTGGATGTTGTAACGATTGCCTGGCTCATTTGACACCTAGAAAGGTTTGTTGGGTAAAAAGGAGAACAAAATGTAAAACACTATGCAATGGAAGGAGACTAGTTTTGTTTCCAGATTGCATTGGTTAGATCTATCTACAGACACACGCAATGAAACACCCACGTACGATGACACTTCAGATACAATTCATGACAAAATCGACATTTGAACATTTGCTCAAAGAGTCAAAACTTAACCTGGTCTAAAGATGTGTCGTTGTGCTGCAAATACTTCCAGGGACCCAGAGTGGCGCCCCCTACCTGCAGATTGCTGCGGAGCTCAGAGAGGAAGGTGACGGGGGAGCGCGTCTTCAGGTACGAGTCCAGATCCTTCTTGAACTGAGAGGGCATCACTCCAGTGAAGTTAGTGAGGATGCGTGGAGCAATGTTGATCTCGCTGAGCATGTCAACCTAGTAAACAAAAATAATTTACTAAATCTAAAAACAGTTACAGAACACCATTTTCAGTGTAATAATGTATTTTAGGGTCTGTCATTCAGCTGTACCTTCAGATTGGGAGTGAAGGGGTCTGGAAGCCTCATATTGCGTGGGAAGGCACTCAGGATCAGGTTGCGGAGCTGGATGCAGTTGGGCGGGATGACGTCGCAGAAGCCGTAGTGGTAGTCGCACAGGAACTCCGGGAAGTCATGCAGCAGGACAAGGAGGACACGCAGGGTGCCCTGAGGACAGGAGAAATATTCAGTCAAATCCAGTCAGTAAGGTTATTAGTCGATTCAAGGGAAAGAAAAACATTAAGAGCAGCTTCCATACCTTGTAGAGGATTTGCATAGGTTTGTTGAGCTCAACATTCCTTAGGAATGGTGCTAGGTACTTGAACAGATCAATGAGCAGCTGGGCATACATGGGCCAACCCTAAGAGAAGAGAAAATAAAGGTTATCAATGGTTGCTCTTCAGCAGCAAAAACACCCACCCAGACATTGCACTAACACAACAGTGACTTGTCCTTGCCTTCTGCTGTGGGGTGTGTGCCAGCATCCTGGCGATGAAGATCCGGTGAGAGATCAACTCCAGCCAAGCGTAGACAAAGCCAGGGGCTTTGGTAGGCCTCAGGATGTGGAAAGTGTTGCTGTGGACATAAGGAAAAAACTAAACATCAGAAACAAAATCACTACAGATGAGCACCACACATTTACAGAGTTGAGGAAAGTGAACTTTAAGATGTCCTGACCATCACTGATCAATATTTTCTGAACAGGCGTGATGGCAGCATTTACCAGAAGGCGGTGAGGGTCTGGAAGTTGATGGTCTCCAGCACATGCTCGGGGGCATTGAGCTCAAGCAGCAGCATGATGAATATGCGGTGGTAAGGCAACTGCTGAAACTCTGTCTGTCTCACATCATGGTCCTGGATCAGCACTCCAACCACAATACCTAGAACCTGAGACCAGTCAAGGGACATTCAGATGAGCCCAGTAATCATGTCATCAAGTCACAAGAACATTTCTTATCTGAAATCTGTGGTTGTGTAAAAAGAAAGTCCTCAAAACAATGAATTACATTGATATTGCAGTTTGAGGTTTTCAACTGTACGGTTGTCTTTCCGTGAGATCTTTACAAAGTAGAAAGCTTATTCTTCAGCCTCCATGGTGAGTATCCTCCTGATTCTTACCTTATTGAGCAGGTTGATCTTGGTGACTGTGTTGGTGGCCTCTCCGGAGTGCTTGACCAGCAGAGCGATGAGGCGCACAAAGGCGTCCAGGTTGTGGTAGCACTTGGCCCTGATAATGGCAGCGCTGGCCGCAGGGTTGTGCTGCTGCTCGGCCTGGGCGCGGTAGCTGATCTCCACACACATCTCTGTGCACAGCCGGAAGAAACGCGTGATCAGGTCATCAGTCTTCAGAATGCCCTGCTGGTGCATCTGGGGAGGACAGTAAGTACAGTAGTGAGAATTGTCTTCCATAATCTAGTTAGAAGTGTTGTATATTTTTTCATGAAATACACAGTTAGTGTGGATTAGTATTTTATTAGGGAACCCCATTAGCTGCTGCCAAGGCAGCAGCTACTCTTCCTGGGGTCCAAACACATGAAGACACTTAATATAATACAACAAATATAAAACAGTACATCATATAACACTGTCATACCACCACAACACAAAATATATGGAACCACCATATAACAATATTCCAATGTAAGTGTGCGTAAAGTGTGTATGCTAGCGCCCGTATGCATGTCTGTACCTGTGTGTGTCTTCACAGTCCCCGCTGTCCTGTAAGGTGCATTTGAATTACTTTATTTATTAGATTTTTTATCCGATTCTACTGCTCGCATCAGTTACCTGATGTGGAATAGAGTTCCATGTAGTCATGGCTCTATGTAGTACTGTGCGTCTCCCATAGTCTGTTCTGGACTGTGAAGAAACCTCTGTTGGCATGCCTTGTGGGGTATGCATCTGTGTCCGAGCTGTGTGCTAGTAGTTTATAAACAGACAGCTCGGTTCATTCAGCTTGTCAGCACTTCTTACAAAAACAAGTAGTGATGAAGTCAATCTCTCCTCCACTTTGAGCCAGGAGAGATGGACATGTATTAATGTTAGCTGTTAGTGTACATTTTAGGGCCAGCCGTGCTGCCCTGTTCTCAGCCAATTGTAATTGTCCTAAGTCCCTCTCTGTGGCACCTAACCAAACGACTGAACAGTAGTCCAGGTGCGACAAAACTAGGGCCTGTAGGACCTGCCTTGTTGATAGTGCTGTTAAGGCGGCAGAGCAGCGCTTTATTATGGACAGACTTCTCCCCATCTTAGCTACTGTTGTATCAACATGTTTTGACCATGACAGTTTACAATCCAGGGTTACTCCAAGCAGTTTAGGTCACCTCAATTTCCACATTCATTACAAGATTTAGTTGAGGTTAAAGGTTTAGTGAATGATTTGTCCCAAATACAATGCTTTTAGTTTTTGAAATATTTAGGACTAATTTATTCCTTGCCACCCATTCTGAAACTAACTGCAGCTCTTTGTTAAGTGTTGCAGTAATTTCAGTCGCTGTAGTAGCTGACGTGTATAGTGTGGAGTCACCCGCATACACACACACACTGGCTTTACGCAAAGCCAGTGTAATGTCGTTAGTTAAGACTGAAAAAAGTAAGGGGCCTACTAGACAGCTGCCCTGGGGGAATTCCTGATTCTACCTGGATTATGTTGGAGAGGCTTCCATTAAAAGAACACACTGTTCTGTTAGACAGGTAACTCTTTATACACAATTTGGCAGGGGGTGTAAAGCCATAACATACATTTTTCCAGCAGCAGACTATGATCGATAATGTCAAAAGCTGCACTGAAGTATAACAAAACAGCCCCCACAATAATCTTACCAATTCCTCTCGGCCAATCAGTCATTTGTGTAAGTGCTGTGCTTGTTAAATGTCCTTCCCTATAAGCGTGCTGAAAGTCTTGTCAATTTGTTTACTGTAAAATATCATTTTATCTGGTCAAACCATTTTTTCCAAAGGTTTACTACAGGTTGGGAAAAGGCTGATTGGTCAGCTATTTGAGCCAGTAAAGGTAGCGGAATGACTTTTGCTTCCCTCCAGGCCTGAGGGCACACACACACACACACACACACACACACTTTCTAGTAGGCTTAAATTGAAGATATGGTAAATATGAGTGGCAATATCATCCGCTATTTTCCCCAGTAATTTTCCATCTAAGTTGTCAGACCCCGGTGGCTTGTCATTGTTGATAAACAATATTTTTCACCTCTTCCACACTCACTTTACAGAATTCAAAATGACAATGGCTCTCATAATTTGATCAGTTATACTTGGATGTATAGTGTCAGCGTTTGTTGCTGGCATGTCATGCATAAATTTGCTAATCCTGCCAATTAAAAAAATATTTAAAAGTAATTGGCAATATCAGTGGGCCTTGTGATGAATGAGCCATCTGACTCAAATGAATGATGGATCAGAGTTTGCCTTTATGCCAAAAATATCATTTAAGGTACTCCAAAGCTTTTTACTATAATTCTTTATATCTATTTTTTTCATAGTATAGTTTCTTCTTTTTATTTAGTTACATGATTTCTCAATTTGCAGTAGGTTTGCCAATCGGTTGTACAGCCAGACTTATTTGCCATTCCCTTTGCCTCATCCCTCTCAACCATACAATTTTTCATTTCCTCATCAATCCACGGAGATTTAACAGTTTTAACTGTCATTTTCTTAGTGGGTGCATGCTTATTAGTAACTGGAATAAGCAATTTCATAAATGTGTCAAGTGCAGTGTGTTTGCTCCTCATTACACACCACGGACCAACAAATATTTGTTACATCATCAACATAAGAATCACTACAAAACGTATTGTATGACCTCATACATTTATATACACACACACACATGGATATAGACACACACACACACACACATATATATACACACACACACATACATATAGTCCCCTGTAGCTCAGTTGGTAGAGCATGGCGCTTGCAACGCCAGGGTTGTGGGTTTGTTTCCCACGGGGGGCCAGTATGAAAATGTATGCACTAACTAAGTCGCTCTGGATAAGAGCATCTGCTAAATGACTAAAACTTTGTTTTACTAGATATGGCTACTATATTGTGATCACTACATCCTATGGATTTGGATACTACTTTAAAGCAAATCTCTGCAGCATTAGTAAAGATGTGATCAATACATGTTCATGATAACGCATTTCACACGTTATCCAGATACTGACAGTTAGCGCTTGGTCTATAGCAGCTTCCCACAATAATAGGCTTTAGGTGAGGCAGATGAACCTGTAGCCATATTACTTCAACATTATTTAACATGATCCTCTAAGCGTTACAGGAATGTGGTTCTGAATATAAAACAGCAACACCTCCACCATTGGCATTTCTGTAGATGTTATAACCATGTATTGCTACCATTGGTATTATCTAAGTGAGTTTCAGAGATTGTCAGAATATGAATGTAATCTGTTACTAGCAAGTTATTGATTTCACGAACCTTGTTTCTTAAGCTAAATATGTTAACATGGGCTATTTTTAGCACTTTTCTGGAATGCTTGATTGTTTTCATTGCTTTACTGGGAAGCTTAGCAAAAGTAGACATGCTCATGTTATTCATGTTAGTGCAGGGTGAGCTGCACACAGTAGACTTCCTACTAGGGCACACAGCCTCAGTGCTAACAGTATAACTCTGGTTCATAGCCACATGATTACCGCATACAATAGCTGTAGAATCAGCAGAGGCATTCAGGGCAAGTAGGACATACATTTGGTTACTTACATTGTGTCTACCAACGCCCCTGGTATAATGTACATTTGCAGAAGCATTATGACAACTCAGCGACACAATGGTAGGGATTAACTGAGCTGGGCTTGGGTCATTGTCTCAAAACAGCCTTCTAATTTATTTTTTTACCTTTATTTAACTAGGCAAGTCAGTTAAGAACAAATTCTTATTTCCAATGACGGCCTACACCGGCCAAACCCGGACGACGCTGGGCCAATTGTGCGCCGCCCTATGGGACTCCCAATCACGGCCGGTTGTGATACAGCCTGGAATCGAACCAGGGGGTCTGTAGTGACGCCTCAAGCACTGAGATGCAGTGCCTTAGACCGCTGCGCCACTCGGGAGCCTAATGCTGTGAAAGGATCCAGGAACCCAAATATCTACTAAGATTTCTTAGTATAAATGTTGATGTCCAGTCTAATAAGTAACACTGCTGCTTGGTGAGCACAGCAGTGGGTTGCAAGAGTATGGGGTTGCTGCCATGTGCACTGCTCCAGCACTAAGGCCCACTGTCAAGGCCGCGATTGGAGCTGTGCTCGTGTTGTGTGTATTGAAGGCAAACAGCGTTCTAACTGCCTTGGAGGAGACTGTCTTCATAAGGCAAAGACTGTTAAACTATCATAAAGACAAGTGTGTGTGCTGTACCTGGCCCACAAAAGCAGAAAAGGCCTTGGTGCTGTCCCGGCCAGCGGCTGCAGAGTGGTACAGGTTGACCCATTCCCTCAGCAGGTACTCCGCCTTCTCCCTCAGGCCCGGTGGATCGTCATACTCAGACGCTTGGGAGATGCCAGAGTGCATCATAAAGTTGGGTCCTCCGTGGGCCCGGTCGATCATGGCCTCGTAGTTGGAGCGGACCACATCCATCAGCTGAGGAAGCCTGGGGACCACAGGACACATACATCAGTTAGAAACTACAAACATACAGTTGAAGTCGGATATTTACATACACCTTAGCCAAATACATTTAAACTCAGTTTTTCACAATTCCTGACATTTAATCCTAGTACAAATTCCCTGTTTTAGGTCAGTTAGGATCACCACTTTATTTTAAGAATGTGAAATGTCAGAATAATAGTAGAGAGAATTATTTATTTCATCACATTCCCAGTGGGTCAGAAGTTTACATACACTCAATTAGTATTTGGTAGCATTGCCTTTACATTGTTTAACTTGGGTCAAACGTTTTGGGTAGCCTTCCACAAGCTTCCCACAATAAGTTGGTGAATTTTGGCCCATCCCTCCTGACAGAGCTGGTGTAACTGAGTCAGGTTTATAGGCCTACTTGCTCGCACACGCTTTTTCAGTTCTGCCCACAAATCTTCTATAGGATTGAGGTCAGGGCTTTGTGATGGCCACTCCAATAACTTGACTTTGTTGTCCTTAAGCCATTTTGCCACAACTTTGGAAGTATGCTTGGGGTCATTGTCCATTTGGAAGACCCATTTGCGACCAAGCTTTAACTTCCTGACTGATGTCTTGAGATGTTGCTTTAATATATACACAATTTTCCTTCCTCATGATGCCATCTATTTTGTGAAGTGCACAAGTCCCTCCTGCAGCAAAGCCCCCCACAGCATGATGCTGCCACCCCCGTGCTTCACGGTTGGGATGGTGTTCTAAGGCTTGCAAGCCTTCCCCCTTTTTCCTTGAAACATAACGATGGTCATTCTGGCCAAACAGTTTTGTTTCATCAGACCAGAGGACATTTCTCCAAAAAGTATGATCTTTGTCCTCATGTGCAGTTGCAAACCTGGCTTTTTTATGGCGGTTTTGGAGCAGTGGCTTCTTCCTTGCTGAGCGGCCTTTCAGGTTATGTCGATATAGGACTCGTTTTACTGTGGATATAGATAATTTTGTACCTGTTTCCTCCAGCATCTTCACAAGGTCCTTTGCTGTTGTTCTGGGATTATTTTTGCACTTTTCGCACCAAAGTACGTTCATCTCTAGGAGACAGAACGCGTCTCCTTCCTGAGTGGAATGACGGCTGCGTGGTCCCATGGTGTTTATACTTACATACTATTGTTTGTACAGATGAACGTGGTACCTTCAGGCGTTTGGAAATTTCTCCCAAGGATGAACCAGACTTGTGGAGGTCTACAAAATTTTTTCCTGAGGTCTTGGCTGATTTCTTTTGATTTTCCCATGATGTCAAGCAGAGGCACTGGGTTTGAAGGTAGGCCTTGAAATACATCCACAGGTACACCTCCAATTTACTCAAATGGTGTCAATTAGCCTATCAGAAGCTTCTAAAGCCATGACATCGTTTTCTGGATTTTTCCAAGCTGTTGAAAGGCACAGTCAACTTAGTTTATGTAAACTTCTGACCCAATGGAATTGTGATACAGTGAATTATAAGTGAAATAATCTGTCTGTAAACAATTGTTGGAAAAATTACTTGTGTCATGCACAAAGTAGATGTCCTAACAGACTTGCCAAAACTAGTTTGTTAACAAGAAATTTGAAAAACGAGTTAATGCCTCCAACCTAAGTATGTAAACTTCTGACTTCAACTGTATGTAGTACGCCAACATCACAATAAACTCCACATCTCCAGGGTCGTATTCATTACCTACCAAATGGAAGACAACGGACTGAAAATAGGACTGCCTGAACAAAAATATAAAAACGCCACATGTAAAGTGTTGGGCCCATGTTTTATGAGATTAAATAAAAACATCCCAGAAATGTTCCATACTCACAAAAAGCTTCTCAAATTGTGCCCAAATTTGTTTAAATCCCTGTTAGTGAGCATTTCTCCTTTGCCAAAATAATCCATCCACCTGACAGGTGTGGCATATCAAGAACCTGATTAAATAGCATGATCATTACCTTGTGCTGTGGACAATAGAAGGCCACTAAAATGTGCAGTTGTGTCAACACCACAGATGTCTCAAGTTTTGATGGAGCGTGCAATTGGCATGCTGACTGCAGGAACGTCCACCAGAGCTGTTGCCAGAGAATTGAATGTTCATTTCTCTACCATAAGCCACCTCAGTCATTTTAGCAAATTTGGCAGTACATCCAACCAGCATCACAACTGCAGACCATGTGTATGGTGTCGTGTGGGCGAGCGGTTTGCTGATGTCAACGTTGTGAACATAGTGCCCCGTGGTGGCGGTGGGGTTATGGTATGGGAAGGCATAAGCTACAGACAACGAACACAATTGCATTTTAACGATGGCAATTTGAATGCACCAAAATACAGAGACGAGATCCTGAGGCCATTTTATTTAAGGTATCTGTGACCAACAGATGCATATCTTTATTCCCAGTCATGTGAAATCCAGATTAGGGCCTAATAAATGTATTTCAATTGCCTAATTTCCTCATATGAACTAACTCAGTAAAATCTCTGAAATTGTTGCATGTTGCATTTATATTTTTGTTCAGTATATTAAGAAACACCCATTTCACGTGTGCCCTAACGAACACAACCTAAACTCCAAATTAAATTAGGACAGAAAAGGACTCACCCCTCGGGTGCGTTGGCCCTGGAGTGGGCGCTGGTTCTCATCAGAGTCTCGATGGTGTGGAACAGGTCGGCCTCTGTGATGTGGCTCACACTGCGCTCATCCACCAGCAGCAGCTTCACCAGCTGCATTGCAAATGCAACCGCCATGTAGTGCAGCCCGTTCTCCATTGACTAGACAAGAGAAACATACACACAGGGTTTTAAGATACACTGACAAAGGGACGGAATACACTGCATGCCCATTATTCAGTTGCATAGAATCAAGATTGACTATTGACAGATGGCGTTGTGCGCCCTAGAATCAACACATCTCAACGTTTAATAAAAGGTGTGTAATGTCATTTACCTGTGCCAGGTGCAGGTCGTACTGCTGCATGTTGACCAGGTGGTTTCTGATCAGCAGCTCCACAGCCTCCACGTTGTACTTGTACTCATCACGGCACTCAATCAGACACCTGGAACAAGTAAAGATATCCCAAACATTAACAAATGAATGAGTGGATTTAGTTTCCCCTCTCCATTAGAGCCAAAAACCTTCCTATGAGTGGGTTAAGGGGGATACCAACCTGGTAATCTGCTTGTTGCACCATTGTGGCCCATATGCCCGGCCGTCCTGGAGGGCTTTGAGCACCAGCAGGTGGCACTCTCTGTACCGCAGGAGCAGGTCAGCATCGGCACCACTGGTGGCATCCAGCAGACCCTCCACAGCCTGGAACAAGGAAGGAGAGATGAGGGACACAGAGAGCTTTTCTACTGAGACCTGTGTATTCGTAAAGATAACTAAACTACTTTTCTATCTATGCATGTATTCCTATTATGGCTGTGTGAGGAGTAGTCCCCGACCTTCTGCAGCAGGCCCAGAGCGGCAATGCCGTCCCGGGAGTTCCTGGCCAGGGCCACGGCCTCCAGCAGACTGCGCAGGGCCTGAGTCTGGGGGTTCATGGCCAGCGCTGGGGGGATGGCATGGAGGTGCTGCTCCAGGTCCGCCATGCACTTGTCATAGATCTGAGCCACGTCGTCCGTGGCCCATGCCTGTTGCTGTAATAAACACAGGACAGAGACATTTATATGATACTTGAGTAAAGTTCACCTTAAAATCAGGTTGGTTATGTCAAAGATAGCAGCAAATGCAATATTGGGTAGTTCTCTTTTAGTGGTATGAGAGCCTTACCTTCATGGGCTGGGCAAGGAATCCAGTGGGCTGAGACAGGTCGTTGCTGGGTAGGAAGCCTGGAACATTCCTGGCAAACTCCTCATACACCGCCAGCTGTTTGGGGTCTACGCCTCCAACCTGTGGCAGAAATATCACTCAGTAAATAGTCCAGTTGCAAACACGGTCTTCGATATTACTTGCATTGAAATATTTTTCGAATGTTTCTTTGACTATACCGATAATAGGAGAGAAGCCAAGTTCTATAAGTGGAGTGCTATAAGCTAGGTGTGCTCACCTTGAGTCTGATCTGCTCTGGCATGCGCTCTGCCTGGTAGGTCAGCACCACAGGGTCGCAGTAGCGACGGCCCTCCTGACGGGCGTGCTTCCTCAACTCAAACTCCTACAGGAGAGAAAGGGTAAAGGTACAGTCAGCCATCAAGTTGTGGACAGTATACAGACAAGAGCAGCATCCCAGCGCCCCAATATGGTGATGGAGCCCATAACCACTCACCGTGGCCAGTCTCTTGTCCATCTCTGGGCCTGCCTTCTCCACGGCAGTCTTCTGGATGAAGCAGCAGGCCAGCTCACAGTTGTCCTGGGCGACTCTGGCAGCAGCCTCCTCCATCATCTCTCTCTGCTGGGGGGTGGGGGCCTGGAGGGGGACAGGAGCAAAGCTATTAGCAAGAGGAACAATAATAATAAGATATATTTTATATAGCGCTTTGTGGATGTGAATGGGAGAGAATGAAGCGACTGTACCCTGAGGGCTGCGGCAAAGCTGTTCTTCAGGTTGGTGGCGATGCTCATGAGCAGGGGCTCCCGGCAGGTGATCATGGCCATGCCGGCAGTCAGGTTACGCATCATGTGATGGGCGGCCACACGCATCCGCGACTCCTCGGAATCCAGGGCAAAGTCCTTCCTGACGATCTGCTCGCAGGTAGTCATGGCGATCTTGATTGAACGGTCCACCACGGGGTGGACGAGCTCCTGCACGGCCCGCTCAATGGACTGTCTCACACACTGCTTCAGCTGAGGGTGGGCTTGGAGCAAGGGGATCTGCAGGGAGAGAAGTGTCTTAGTACCACCACAACCCCAAAGACATACCATGTGCACATCACAACTCGTGTTTGAGTGAGAGTGCTACTTACATTGATGTTGATATTGATGTGAGGGGCTAGCCCTGCAAGGGCGTACACATTGATGTCATGATAGCTAAACTGTGGGGTAGGGGGCCCAGTAGCTGTGCAAGTGGTGGTTGCGGCGGGAGTGGATGGTGCAGCTGCAAATGGAAGAAAGTCTCCTGTTGGTTACAAAACGCTATTGTGATTAAAACACAGCCCGAGCGCAGCATCTCGTTGAACAAAACAAATAAATATGCAATGGGTTAAATGTTCTTTGCAAAAAACAAACAAATGTAGGTTATTATTCTACATTGAAATGATGATATTAAGATAGGCTAAAATCATATTCAACAAATTGTGATGAAATATTTCCATTTCAATATACATGGGGACCAACATTACAATCAGATGAAACAAACATTGAAATACATTTGCTAGAAAGATATCCACACACCGACAAGGGGCATCCCAATTTGAAAGTGCTGGATACCTGTGCTAACAACAGGGAGCATTTCTTCAGGGGGCTTGGCCTCTTTCTTTGGTGCAGAGAGCTGTTCCTCCAGGCTTTTCAACTTGTCTTTGTCCTTCAGCAGGGTGCCAGGCTTCAGGTCATTGATGTCCAGTGATAAATTCTTACACAGCACCTCAATCTCAAACTTTAAGTTCAGCTGTAACGGGAAAAGAAGCACAATCAGTATCTGAAATCTCTTTTAGAAACATGATGTGACTGGTAGATAAAAGAGAAAGGATTCCCTGACCTTCAGATCATGCTCCGTATGCAGCTCTGCCAGAACATTCATGATGGCCATAGTCCAGGGATTCTGGGGTCGGAAAATCTGAGAGAATATTAAATGGCATTTAAGTCGACCTGCTCTTAAAACTTTGAAGGCATAATAGCTAAGAAATGTGCCCATACAAACCCCACCAGATCTCACAAGTTTAACAAATAAATTACCCAGAGAGCCATTGGCTCCTAAACAAAAAAAGTTTAACACAAGCCTCTTTGCTTCTTCTGGAGGTGGGCTATAACGCTGTCTATACTGGTCTACATCATCTAGTTCTGACTGGCTCCCTGTCTGCTGTTGTAGGTACTCTGCCTGATGGGACTGGCTCACTTTCTTTTTCTGTTGGGGATGGATCAGTCTTAGGGCCCATAGTCTCTTGACCATGCGACCTGACCATGAAAAACTAGTCTAGTTATAGGCAGGCCTTAGTCATGGAAAAACTCCAGGCCCAAACATTTTGTCTGTTGGATTGGCCGTCTCGCTATTCCTGCCTGCCGGTGCTGGCTCAGTCTATGCTGGGCCCAAGCTCACGGTCACTGAACAATTCTCACTTTGACAACAATGTAAAAGTTTCCCCCTAGAAATTAAAATGTGAATCCAGATTGATATACTTAAAAATGTTGGTGAGAATGTGGCCTTACCACGCTACGTAAACTGGATTCCAGGACTTTGGCCACAAACGGGACCACATAGAGTAGCTCCTGCTGCCCCTTGACATATGCTTCCAACAAGAGGGATTTCACCTCCAAATCCTAACGAAATAAAATAACAAAGGTAGGTTAAACACAAAATACCATCTTGGGTCACATTACAAGCAGCCGGTTATTTGTTGGGAGGAAAACAAAAATGGAAAGTTTAATACAGGCCAACATTTAAAAATGCGGTAATCTACTCACTGTGTACAGGATGGGCTTGTTTTTAGCCAGAGTGATCATGCCAAGCCAGTGGCCCAAATTCTTCAGTAGGGATCGATCAGAGAAGTTTGCAGCTGCCTTATCAGAGGTAAGGAGAACCTGTCACATGGAAAGAGAAATGGTTAGTAATTAAATAGCTCTTATTAAAAAAAAAATCTGATATGAGTTTACAAACTATTGTCCATAAAAGTTGATTAAGTGAATAACTATTCACCTTGATGTTTCTGTAAGTTTCATTCAAGGCCATTTTGACAAAATCTGGGTTCTTCAGGGTGTCCAAGAAGTTGGAGTACAGGCTGTGGAAGTTGGGCTCGATGCTGACCCTCTTCATGACCAGATACTGGGAGACCCAGGGCATGAACTCCTCTTTGACAGTCTCCTTTAACTCCTCAACCTTGAGTTACATGAAAGTACACAAGCATTAATTGAAGTACAGAAATGTATTTATATTGGCCAAAACCAAGATGCTCAATATAGCAGGCTTTTGCAAGTACAAGTCAAGTGGCAACACCAAGTAGCAAACATATATCTATGACCCACCTTCTGTGTCATATTGGATTGTGACAGGTTATTGAAGATGAAAGCAATTTTCTCTTGAACATTTTCTGGGGGTTCCACAATCCTCTCGGTTTGGTCTGTTGCTACTAGAAGCGTGTCGATGTTTGTGGTGTTGATGGAGGGCTGAAATGACAATATACACTCAAAACAAAATGCTGCTTTACAATATTATAACCGCTACTTGGGAAATCACAATTTTACACTACTTCAATTCTTACTTACAGTGAGAGCATCCTTGCCAAACAATCACAGTATTGGAGTATTTCTTCAGTGACATAGCTTCACAGACTATTTTAGGCTCGTCACACATTTGTAAAAAAAAAAAATATATATATATTTTTTAAAAGATACATTTCCTGGTGTTTGAGTTCGAGTATTTGCACACCAAAATGAGCATATCAAATGTGACAGTGTTCCTCATGGAACGGTTTAGAATGTTGCCATTGACACAAGCTATGGCAACGCAGTAAAACTCTGAAGCACTGGTTTGCTAGAGTCATTTTACATGGCCAGAGAAAAACATTGGTATATATATATATATATATATATATATATATATATATATATATATATATATATATATATATATATATATATATATATATATATATATATATATAGTGCAACCGACTTTCCCAGGTACTCACCGGCACATCCTTCTTGAAGCTGCCAGGGGTAGGCCGGGTGATGGTAGTGGTTTTGGCGACGGTGGTGGTGGTAGCTGTGGTGACCAGGGTGCTAGGCTGGGCGGCTTTGGGAGGCTGAGACTGGGCCTGAGCTTGAGCCAACGCCAGGCTTCCTGGGGTGGTGATGGATCCCTGCATCTTCACCGGAGGGTCCCGTGACTGTTGGCCATACTCGATATACTGCACGCACAGGGTATTCGAAAGTGCCAGAGCGAGAGACTTATTTATCGTGAAGTAGGATCCGCACCTCTGGCTAAGGTGTTGCGGAGACCAGTAATAAAAACAAGGAAGATTCATGTACAGATGAAGAATGACCGATTGTGTCACAAATATACAAGAAATCCAATTACCTCTTGTAAATGATGGGGGAATTGCAGAAAGTGGCCGATTGAGGCCAAGTGCTGACAATATTGGGGATAGTCCTTCAGTCTAGAGACGGAAAGATCAAATTAGCCCTACAGCAGTCACATAATTAGAATCATACATACGCAACATTCTTTAGCAACATGCAAATATTCAGTGTGGAACTCCATTAAACATCTGAAGAAAGTTAATAGTCCATACCTATTTTTGAATCTATCTAGAGCAGCGATTCCAAAGTAATACATTTTGGACCCAAATGGTTTCCTCAAGGCTTCGAGGACATATCGGAGGGCCAGTCCGAGGGCCATGTAGGTGACAAGACCTTTCTCAATGATCCCCCCGAACAGGCAGGCGGTGATGTGCAGCTCCTTGTCAGGGTACTGGGGGAAGAAGCGGTACTCCTCAAACAAGTTCCTCAGCATACAGTTAAAGACCTCACGCTCTCGCTTGATGGTGGAGTCCTTGAACCTCTGCAGCATCTCCAGTACCTGCAGAGAGAGACGGGCGCCAAGGATTTAGCAGCTACCAGACTGAGGATAAACACCATCACCGGATAAGTGCCTGCAACAGCCTGCAGACTAGGGATTTCACAATAACAGAATTCATTTTTTCTATATTCTTTTGTACTTACATTTACATTTTAGTCATTTAGCAGATGCTCTTATCCAGAGTGACTTACATGAGCAATTAGGGTTAAGTGCCTTGCTCAAGGGCACATCGACAGATGTTTCACCTAGTCGGCTCGGGGATTAGAACCAGCGACCTTTCGGTTACTGGCACAACGCTCTTAACCACTAAGCTACCTGCCGCTACCTACTTTTTACCCCCCTTTTTCTCCCCAATATCCAAATTGGTAGTTCCAGTCTTTTCCAATCGCTGCAACTCCCATACGGACTCAGGAGAGGCGAAGGTTGAGAGCCACGTGTCCTCCAAAACACGACCCCGCCAAGCGGCACTGCTTCTTGACACACTGTTCGCTTAACCCGGAAGCCAGCTGCACCAATGTGTCGGAGGAAACACCATACAACTGGCGACCGTGTCAGCGTGAATGCGCCCGGCCCGCCACAGGAATCGCTAGAGCGCGATGGGACAAGGTCATCCCGGCCGGCCAAAATCATCCCAACCCGGACGACGCTGGGCCAATTGTGCACCGCCTCATGGGTCTCCCGGTCACGGCCGGCTGTGACACAGCCTGGGATCGAACCCGGATCTGTAGTGATGCCGCTAGCACTGCGATGCAGTGCCTTAGACCGCTGCGCCACTCGTGAAGCCCACAATACCATAATTTTTACTTCGATACCAGGTTTAGTATCACAATTAGGGTTGTCACGATACCAGTATTGAGATACTCAGAGGTATTGTTGTAAGGAAACAAAAATGAGGAAAACAGTTCTAACGTTGATAACAAGCAGCTTGATGTCACCCAGAATCACATTTCTTTTCCAAGCTATAGCACACTATTTTACATACAGTAGATTTATTAAAGGACCAAAGAGAAAATCAGGTATTGTAGTATCGCGATACTGGTATCGCGACAACTCTAATTACAATACTCAATGCCAAAATGATACAGACGCAAAAAAAGAAAGTGTTTTAGCCACTTGACTTCTGTAGTTAAAATAAGAGAAACCAATAGTGAAAATGTGGACAGCCTAAAACCCTTCTACAAAACCATGTAAGACAGAGCATACAAAATAATTATATAATAAAATTGGATACATAGAATGTGCTTATCTATGGCCAAATTATATCAATGTTAAAAATAGGACGTTGTCCCTTTAAGAAAACTCTCTCAAAAGAGAGGCTAGCTCTGGCTACAGCAGCAATGCTAGGTGTCTTTTCGTAGACCGGCTATTCCCAAACAGGGGTATGCAATGCCGTCGGGGGTAAGCCAAATAAAAATGTGATTCACATTTTCAATTAGTCCATTTAGATTTTCCAACAGGGCTATATTTGTGTAATGTTTTTTTCTCACCCCAGTAGCCTCGTTTCACTGCCAAAACCATCTAGTATTCAGCTAAATAACAATGTCAAATACAGGTAACCTAGTCAAATAATGAACATCCAATCACATTAAGTCAAATGACACCGCTGGTCCTGCTCACACTGCCCTACCCTATGCTTTGACTTCTTTCTCCCCTCTCTCTCCAGATGAAATCTTGCGACAGCCGGCCGCCCAACAACCTGCCCGCTTGACCCTATCCCCTCCTCTCTTCTCCAGACCATTTCCGGAGACCTTCTCCCTTACCTCACCTCGCTCATCAACTCATCCTTGACCACTGGCTATGTCCCTTCCGTCTTCAAGAGAGCGAGAGTTGCACCCCTCCTCAAAAAACCTACACTCGATCCCTCCGATGTCAACAACTACAGACCAGTATCCCTTCTTTTCTCTCCAAAACTCTTGAGGGTGCCGTCTATAGCCAACTCTCCTGCTATCTCTCTCAGAATGACCTTCTTGATCCAAACCAGTCAGGTTTCAAGACTGGTCATTCAACTGACACTGCTCTTCTCTGTGTCACGGAGGCTCTCCGCACTGCTAAAGCTAACTCTCTCTCCTCTCATCCTTGTAGACCTATCTGCTGCCTTTGATACTGTGAACCATCAGATCCTCCTCTCCACCCTCTCCGAGTTGGGCATCTCCGGCGCGGCTCACTCTTGGATTGCGTCCTACCTCACAGGTCGCTCCTACCAGGTGGCGTGGCGAGAATCTGTCTCCGCACCACGTGCTCTCACCACTGGTGTCACCCAGGGCTTAGTTCTAGGCCCTCTCCTATTCTCCCTATACACCAAGTCACTTGGCTCGGTCATATCCTCACATGGTCTCTCCTATCATTGCTACGCAGACGACACACAATTAATCTTCTCCTTTCCCCCTTCTGATAACCAGGTGGCGAATCGCATCTCTGCATGTCTGGCAGACATCAGTGTGGATGACGGATCACCACCTCAAGCTGAACCTCGGCAAGACAGAGCTGCTCTTCCTCCCGGGGAAGGACTGCCCGCTCCATGATCTCGCCATCACGGTTGACAACTCCGTTGTGTCCTCCTCCCAGAGTGCAAATAACCTTGGCGTGACCCTGGACAACACCCTGTCATTCTCCTGTAGGTTCATGCTCTACAACATTCGCAGAGTACGACCCTACCTTACACAGGAAGCGGCACAGCAGTACTACACCTGCACCTGTTGACGACAAGTTGTTCTGCTTCCACGAGCACATCCAATGCTAGCATCAGTAATTCTACATTTGTTGCTAGCCCAGCTAGCATGGACACTGACAGTTGTGAATCTGATGCAGCCGAAGAGCTACTGCCCCCTTAACCGGGAAAGCGCCAAAGAGACAGGGACGTTGGACCATCGAAGAGGTGCAAATATGATGAGAACTACATTGATTTGGGGTTCACTTATATTGGGAGTAGTGCCTTTCCTCAGCCACAGTGTGTTATATGTGCAAAAGTACTATCTCAAAACTCGATGAAACCTTCACTATTGCGCAGACATTTAGAAACGAAACATGCCAATTTGAAAAATTAGCCACGGGAGTTTGAGCGAGAATTAAGACGACTTTTGAGTAGTAAGACATGTATGAAAGCAACAGATACCATTAATAAGAAGGGGCTAGAAGCGTCTTATATGGTGAGCTACGACAGGAAAGCCCCATACTATTGTGGAGGACTTAATTATTCCTGCTGCCGCAGATATGGCTGGGACAATGCTGGGGGAAAAGGCAAAAAACTATACAGACGATGCCTTCATCAAAAAACACTGTTTCACGACGCATCAGTGACATGGCAGGAGATGTTTTGAAACAATTACTGCTTTGCATACAAGCCAGTGAATTCTATGCGTTACAGCTGGATGAGTCAACAGACATGGTGGGCCTGGCACAGCTCCTGGGATATGTCCATTAAGTTTATGGGGGGGTCAATTAAGGAAGACATCCTCTTCTGCAAACCACTGGAAACCAAGACAACAGGAGAGGATCTTTTTAAAAGTACTGGACAGCTGTGTGACATCAAATGGACTTTGGTGGTATCTGTACTGATGGCGCAAAAGCCATGACAGGGAGACATAGTGGAGTGGTAACGCGCGTGCAAGCAGTTGCTCCCGACGCCACTTGGGTACACTGTAGCATCCACCGAGGCGCTCTTGCTGCCAAGTGAATGCCTGACAGCTTGAAAGACGTTTTGGACACAACAGTGAAAATGGTTCACTTTGTTAAAGCAAGGCCCCTGAACTCTCGTGTATTTTCTGCATTATGCAATGATATGGGCAGCGACCATGTAACGCTTTCACAACATACAGAAGTGCGCTGGTTATCAAGGGGCAAAGTATTGACACTTTTTTTTATTGAGAGACTAGCTTAAAGTTCTTTGCTGACCATAACTTTCACTTGTCTGACCACAAGTTTCTCACATGACTAGCCTATCTGGGTGATGTTTTTTCTTGCCTGAATGATCTGAATCTAGGATTAGAGGGACTCTCCGCAACTATATTCAATGTGCGGGACAAAATTGAGGCTATGATTAAGAAGTTGGAGCTCTTCTCTGTCTGCATTAACAAGGACAACACACAGGTCTTTCCATCATTGTATGATTTTTTGTGTGCAAATATAGTCAAGCTTACGGACAATGTCAAATTTGATATAGCGAAGCACCTGAGCGAGCTGGGTGCGCAATTACGCAGGTACTTTCCCGAAACGGACGACACAAACAACTGGATTCGTTATCCCTTTCATGCCCTGCCTCCAGTCCACTTACCGATATCTGAACAAGCCTCATCGAAATTGCAACAAGCTGTTCTGTGAAAAATGTATTTAAATCAGAAGCCACTGCCAGATTTCTGGATAGGGCTGCGCTCAGAGTATCCTGCCTAGACAAATCGCGCTGTTAAGACACTGATGCCCTTTGCAACCACGTACCTATGTGAGTGGATTCTCAGCCCACATTAGCATGAAAACGAAATACTGCCACAGACTGTGTGGAAAATGATTTAATAATTTTGCTCAAATATAGCATGAGTTTTGTGCGGGTAAACTCACTGCGACGCCAGCAGTTTTCTACAGCAGACTGCGACAGAGCATATAAATGTAATCAATGCGCTGAGAAGTTACTGGCCAGGTCAACAAATTACTAGACATGATTCTATCAGTCAGTGTACGATGCGAGACATTTGACAGCAGAACCGAAAGTAACAAAAATCTAAAACCAAACTGTTTTTCATGTTATAATTTAGTATCAAAAAACAACCAAGTTGTCGGTGTACCGTGCAACACTACTGCAAACCATTTTATTTAGAGACTCACCTCATCCACAGACATGGTGGGGTGTGGGGGATGGTTGTAGATGCGCTGGAAGTAGCTGTTAGCCTCATCGTCAATCTCCTTACTAAAGTGCTGATTAGCCTCGGGCCACACCTGAGATAGGTCAGCTGGGAAAAAGGCGATAGACCAAATCAAACAATACTGCCATAGAAAACCCTTCGGAATCATTTCAATATTGTGATTACATGCAGCAAATAAAAAAACATTTGAAATGCAATTAAAAACAACTTTAGGACTTCTCACTATCAAAGCAATAAACACCACACAAAAAAACATTAAAGAGATATGTACTGAAAATCCAAGTTCAATTCCTTTCAATAAGGAGCATAAGAATTTGCGTTTAATGGAAGACTGACCTGTATTTCCTCTGATTCAATGTGTGAAAGACAGTTTCTTCCCAGATTGTACTCAATGTTTTTAGATATGAAAAATGTTAAAGCATTTGTAATTGATTCAAGTAAAACCTCATTACTTCAAGAGACTATTAGGAGATATTAAGAGAATGTTTTCAGAGGAAATACACTCAGTCACACCACCACCACTTACAGGCCATCTTACTCTGCTGAAAGGTGGGCGGATTCAGGCCTGGTGTGCTCATCTTCCTCGTCCCAAACGGATCACTGCTCACCGCTGACATTCCAAGACCAGAACCAATACCAGAGCCAATGCCTGATCCCAGCGGACCTAGACAAAAGAAAAACATCCCACTTCAGTACTCCATATAGTGTAATCAAAACACTATACAAATATCTATGGCAGGTTCTCGCCTCATACCTGGGTTACCTAGCTGTGAAGAGAGGCTTCCAATCCCCCCAAATGGTGTGCTGGGGTTGGACAGAGGAGGGAAGGCCTTAGCTGGGGACTGGGGGTTGCTGAAAGCAGAGCCCAGCGGGGTGGGAAAGCCCTGCATGCTCTGTGTGTGAGAGGTGGCAGAGCTGCCCAGGTTGAGGGAGCCCATGGCTGTCAGGGGATCCATCTGTAACACACAGAACGGAGCACAAGGATGAGCAACCTGCATTTCAGGCTGATGTTCACAATTATAATGTTATAAGACAAAACAATTAAAATCAGATTCAGGGGATGATGAAAGTACAATGTTTCTAGCTGATACACATTCCCCAATAAATAGTGTTAGATTGCATTTATTATGTTATGTAAGCTCTTCACCTGGAGAGGAGACACCGATACCTGCACAGGGGAAATTGCATCTATGCTGCTGGTGCTGGGAGCACGTCCCTTTGGCATGACCCCTGGTGGCGGCTGGCGGGCTTTGTTCATGACGTTGCTACAGTTGGCAGCCATGGTCAAGATAGTCTCGGAGAGCTCTTGAGAGACGCTCCTGAAAAATACATAATTTAGAGGAATATGACCTTTCTTGATAACAATACAAGATGACTTATGGAAACTAGACCTTTTGGCACCATACAACATGATTGAAGTAATGAAAGAGCCAATTTGATCATAGGCCCCATGAATCGAGCTCTGGTAGGTAAACCCACCCTGCACAGGACTGCAGACAGCCCAGCATGGTAGCCATCGTTTCCGGTGGAAGGAGGGCGCTTTTGGGCTGGTCCTTCTCTGGGGCCAGACCACCCATGATAGAGGGACAGCGTCTCTTCAGGAACGTAACACACGCCTGGATGAAGGGCTCCTAGAACAGCAAACAGGTCAATGACTGTCATGTACTATATCCCAATAACTTTTTGTAGCAATGTGTATGTATAATTTTGTTGTAATTGCTGTAAATTAAAAGGCTCAACTCACACCACTCACCCCGTGCTCTCGGATTTTGTCAGTCAGCCATTTGTCAAGTTTGAGGTATTCACGGCGAGAGGCAAGTGCAGCAAGGTCAATAACGAAGGCAAATGGAGTACCATTTAGCAGCATTGATAGAGACTGAAAAACAAGAACAGTTTGGATATTGCAACAACAAAAATGCACGAAGTGGCCTTATCAAAAATGCATCTTTTGACAAATGGGTAAAATGTGTTAATTATGTAGATAATCCTCTAAGAAAACCGAATGGTCCAAACCTAATGTCGCTATCATAATCCATTCAAAACAACAGTTTCTACCCTTGTAGGATGGTCAAAATTAGGGCGACTAAATCATTGGAGGCCAGAGAAGAAAAAAGTAATTAATCAGGAAAATAGCATTGCATCAGTAAGGCTGGATGCTGTGCGAGAATTAAAAGGATACTTCAGGATTTTGGCAATGATGCCATTTATCTATACTGAACAAAAATATAAACGAAACATGTAAAGTGCTGGTCCCATGTTTCATGAGCTGAAATAAAAGATCCCAGAAATTGTGCACAATTTTGTTTACATCCCTGTTAGTGAGCATTTCTCCTTTGCCAAGATAATCCATCCACCTGACAGGTGTGGCATATCAAGAAGCTGATTAAACAGCATGATCATTACACAGGTGTACGTTGTGCTGGACACAATAAAAGGCCACTAAAATGTGCAGTTGTCACAGCACAATGCCACAGATGTCGCAAGTTCAGGGAGCGTGCAATTGGCATGCTGACTGCAGGAATGTCCACCAGAGCTGTTGCCAGAGAATTTAATGTTAATTTCTCTACCATAAGCCACCTCCGTAATTTTTGCGAATATGGCAGTATGCCCAACCGGCCTTACAACCGCAGACCACGTGATACCGCACCAGCCCAGGACCTCCACATCCGGCTTCTTCACCTGTGGGATAGTCTGAGACCAACCACCCGGACAGCTGATGAAAACTAATGGCCTATGCCCTCCCAGGCCCACCCATGGCTGCGCAGTCATGGAAAATCCATAGATTAGGGCCTAATTAATTTATTTCAATTGATCGATTTCCTTAAATGAACTGCAACTCAGTACAAACTTTGAAATTGTTGGATTTATATTTTTGTTCAGTGTACTTCCCCAGAGTCAGATGAACTATTTTTATTTGTCTGTGTCCAGTATGAAGAAAGTTGGAGGTAGTTTCGCAAGCAAATGCTAACTAGCATTAGCACAATGACATTGTATCTGCTAGCATGCTAGCCGACGAGGATGCTATTTTCCTGATTTATGACTACCTTTCCCCCCCCTCCTCAGGCCTCCATTGATTTAGTCACCCTAATTTCACCCATCCTACAAGGGTAAAAACAATTGAGGTAAGAGATATCCATTTTGAGACATGACATGCGTATCCCTAAAATGTCAACGGCGCACTGAGCGTACCAAGCTTTTTATTTTCAAAACCTTTACATTTAATTCAGCTCGGGTCATGCTAATTTTGCTATTTGCGACCCGCGGAAACAATTTGGAAGACGAGGACCACAAAATGTAAAATCCTCAAAAGTTTAGGCAATGAAGCTGCACCGCTCTGTTAACAGAGCTCGGTGCTTTTTATCGGATGTATTAGGTTACGAAATCTGACTTTTTTGATATAATGTTAATGATATGTTAGGGAAAGACCAGACTGAACGATTCAGAACATGAAGAATCATATTGGTATTAGTAAAATGTATTTTATAACATAAGGAAGTGAAATGTCATCAACAAAATGCGTTTTCAGCCACTGGGCAGAGTCGGTGAACACCCTACCTTCACAAAACTATACCACAGCTTTCATTATATTTCCTGAAAAAAGCCACTGATCCCTTCCTACCTTCAAGTCCTGGGCCACATCCAGGATGCGGGACAGCTTGGCCTGGTCGTACAGCTCCCCTCTCATGTACCACTCTGCCATCGAGTGCATGATCAGCTGACGGATAGAGGGGGACTGGCCTTGTCCGTGCCAGGCGTAGTGCAAGATGATGGCGGCGTTGGGGTGGTTGCCCAGGAAGATTGGCATGAGGGTGGAGATGAGCTCGTGGCGCAGGGTGTGCCAGGAGGTGCTTATCTGCAGCAGCGCCAGCACCAGCATGTCGGGACAGTGCTTGATGGGGAAGCTGAAGAGCTGCTTTACCTGCTCGTACTGGCCCACCTCAGAGAGGCGCAGGAGGCTCTCCACCAGGTCCAGGCTCTTCCTGTGAGGTGAAATCACAATTAAAGACTATCACAAATGGCATGACATTGTTCTAATAATTCATGTAAATGAGTATTTGGTACTGTGGAGGTCAGGAGGCCTGTGTTTTACGTACCAGGTGGCTATCTCCCGATTATCATCCTCAGGTGGGGCCTTGAGTATGTCGATGGCTACGGTGTGACAGGGGTAGTCAGCGAAGCAGAACACATCAGGGCTCATGAGGGAGTGCTGGATGAATGACAGCTGGAAGAGAGGGGAGTGAGAATGGTCAAGAGTGCCGAGGAGTTCATTGATGTGAATGAAGGAATCAGAGTTTGTTACCTCTGGAAATAAGAGCCCAAAGTGTTGTGTCTGGTCATTTTTACACAAATCTGACCCAATCTCCTCCTTACCTGTCCTTCAGCATGCTTCCAGGGCCGGTAGATAAGGTCGACAGGGAACACCTCCATGCCCAGGCCCCTCTGGATCCCATATACCACCATCTGCAGTCCCTTGCTGTCCCGGATCATGAAGCCAGGGTGATCGAGCTCGTAGGTCACCTCTTTAAAGTTCAGATTGGGGTTCTAAAATATAAAAAGGAAATGTTCTGTACAAAGCGCAAGAGACGAATGGCCAACTGAAGCGGAATAATATGTAATTCCACTATAACTTACAACTTCTTTGACCACATCAATTAGAACTTCTACATTCCAGGTGTGCGCCTGAGAGCCATCACTTTTGTCCTTTCCATCGCTCCAAATGCCACTGCCCGGAGCCGAGATGGACTGAGGAAGATGTAAAGAACCAGAGAAAACATTAGTATACAATGTTTTTTTCAGAGCTTTGAGGAGGTTTAGTAAGTTACCATCAGGTCAATCCTCACCTGTAGGGGGATTCCATCAGACAAGCCAGAGTGGGTGCGAGCCATCATCCCCAGGACCCTAGCCACCTGGCTGGCAGTAACCTCTCGCACCCCATACTGCAGGATTATGTTGCGGCATTCATCGAGACTTAGAATGAAAAACAGACAATACATTAACAGGGGTAACTGACATTTGTGGTTGTCAAGCATGACATCAAAAACAACTGAATTAATTTGATTTGTAATGGGCATTCCAGTTACTAAATAACAATCACCTTGCACAAAAGCCATAGCCAACTTCCTGCATGAACTCTGCGAGAGAACTCTCCATCATGGTCTTGGCTAACTCTCCCGAGTCTGGCAGAATCCTGTCCATCAGAATGTCCCGTTTTTCAGGGTACAGCAGTGGTGCGAGCACCACAGGGCAGCGCTCCTGCGGGAAATCTGAAACAAAGAGACAATATTTAATTGATGGGGCAACAATGTACAAAACTACCAGATTGCTGTGAATGAAGGAATCTTTGTTACTTCTGGAAATAATTAACATTTCCTTTCAAGTAGTACGTCTATGCCCCTCACCTCTGCACAGCGTCTTGAGGAACGCGTCAATCTGCTCTTGTCCGACCCCGCTGGCGCCCTTCTGGCCAAACAAAAGATGGGAGAGGAGCAGGTGCAGGACCTCTATGGCAATGTCTTGGAAGCCACCTTCCTGGTTTCCTCCAAGGTCCGCGTCCACGTACGAGCGGAGGAGGTCCGGGAGCCTTTGTTTGACGAACTGCGCGGCTTAAGACAGATGGGGAAATATTTCAAAGAAATACTTGTACACTCAGCAAAAAAAGAAAACGTCCCCTTTTCAGGGCCCTGTCTTTTAAAAATAATTAGTAAAAATCTAATTGTAAAAGGGGTTAAACACTGTTTTCCATGCATGTTCAATGAACATGCACCTGTGGAACGGTCGTTAAGACACTAACAGCTTACAGATGGTAGGCAATTAAGGTCACAGTTATGAAAACTTAGGACACTAAAGAGGCCTTTCTACTGACTGAAAACACCAAAGGAAAGATGCCCAGGGTCCCTGCTCATCTGCGTGAACGTGCCTTAGGCATGCTGCAAGGAGGCATGAGGACTGCAGATGTGGCCAGGGCAATAAATTGCAATGTCCATACTGTGAGACGCCTAAGACAGCGCTAAAGGGAGACAGGACGGACAGCTGATCGTCCTCGCAGTGGCAGACCACGTGTAACAACATCTGCACAGGATCGGTACATCCGAACATCACACCTGCGGGACAGGTACAGGATGGCAACAACAACTGCCCGAATTACACCAGGAAGGCACAATCCCTCCATCAGTGCTCAGACTGTCCGCAATAGGCTGAGAGAGGCTGGACTGAGGGCTTGTAGGCCTGTTGTAAGGCAGGTCCTCACCAGACATCACCGGCAACAACGTCGCCTATGGGCACAAACCCACCGTCGCTGGACCAGACAGGACTGGCAAAAAGTGCTCTTCAATGACGAGTCGCGGTTTTGTCTCACCAGGGGTGATGGTCGGATTCGTGTTTATTGTCGAAGGAATGAGCGTTACACCGAGGCCTGTACTCTGGAGCGGGATCGATTTGGAAATGGAGCGTCCGTCCTGGCCTGGGGCGGTGTGTCACAGCATCATCGGACTGAGCTTGTTGTCATTGCAGGCAATCTCAACGCTGTGCGTTACAGTGAACACATCCTCCTCCCTCATGTGGTACCCTTCCTGCAGGCTCATCCTGACATGACCCTCCAGCATGAACATTGCCACCAGCCATACTGCTCGTTCTGTGCTTGATTTCCTGCAAGACAGGAATGTCAGTGTTCTGCCATGGCCAGCGAAGAGCCCGGATCTCAATACCATTGAGCACGTCTGGGACCTGTTGGATCGGAGGGTGAGGGCTAGGGCCATTCCCCCCAGAAATGTCCAGGAACTTGCAGGTGCCTTGGTGGAAGAATGGGGTAACATCTCACAGCAAGAACTGGCAAATCTGGTGCAATCCATGAGGAGGAGATGCACTGCAGTACTTAATGCAGCTGGTGGCCACAACAGATACTGATTGTTACTTTTGATTTTGACCACCCCTTTGTTCAGGGACACATTATTCAATTTCTGTTAGTCACATGTCTCAGTTGTTGAATCTTGTTATGTTCATACAAATATTTACACGTTAAGTTTGCTGAAAATAAACGCAGTTGACAGTGAGAGGACGTTTATTTTTTTGCTGAGTTTATAACGGATGTCACGCTGCTTGCTTAGTATGGCTTCCTTCTGATTTGGCTCACACAGAGGCTCGAACCCAGGACATCTGCCTTTTTAGCACACGTGACCGCCCTTCCGAAGAGTCTTTAACAGTCGCGCCAAGCGAAAAGCTAGCGATTCGGCTGCGCATGTAGGGACACGTCAGGCTCAGGAGTGAGTGTCACATTTCCATGTGCTACACTTGGACACCTTGATAACAGAATAACTCATGAGACCCCACTCCCCCTCCCCCCCAGCATATACAGATAAAACATAGCATGTATTCAAGTCAGCAGGTATAGATAGTCAAATGATTAAATATAAAACTGAGTTTACCAAAACCACGAAGGTCTGCGTTGCACGAATTCAGCAAAGCAAGGCCAAATATAACCTTCGGGGAAAAAGAAGAGATTAAGTATAATCTCAAATTGTTTGCCATATTATTTTTCAACTACAATAAAAACCACCATCTGATAACATACATTTCCATATTACTTTACTTACTTCTTGAACCTTGCTTAGCTTGAGAACTTTACTCAACTGAGTAAACAAGTGGGCCGAAGGTTTCAAACTCTAAAAATTATAAAACGTTTAGAAAACATTAAACTGTTATTCTGATGCAGACAGTAATTTTAGCACATGAAGAGAGGCCTAACTTGGACCCACTTCATCAATGCAGAAAAGTACAATAATATTTTACAAATTGCAGAATTATTTTATAATGATAGGTGAGAAAATAAGCACGTCTCCTACCTTCTGGTAGTGCAAAGGATTGTCGATGGTGTAGCAGAGTGTTGAAATAAAATTTGGCTTTGAAATCAGTGAAACACACTCCTGGATCAGAAACTGTGTCTTGGTCAAGGTAAATGGGAGAAGAGGGGGCATAACAAAATAAGTTAAGGACAAAACAGGAAAGCAAAGTCACTTTCTAAAATAATAAAGGCAAGACAAACAGACAATACCAATGATGATTAGGAAACGTACACAGTGGTGCCTCTAGTGTTCACATATTTCTAGTGCTGTGATATCTAAACATTTTCCGGTTTGAAAGAGACCAGTAATCCTCATTGCTAAAATCAGTTGAAGTTTAGCCAAAATCAGTTGAAGTTTAGCCACTGGTGTAATAAGTATTACTAATCAGAAATTACCTGATGGAAATCTTTGCCACTGCTTTTACCATCGCCACTGAAATCCACATGGGAGAAAAGACAGCGTAATAAATGCCTGTCTGCCTCAGGGCCGTGACGATTCACAATCTGTTGGAACAGAAGACGCATTCACCAAAATAACAAATAACAGGTCGGCCGTCAAAGCCAAAATATTATTGTCAAGATATCTCAGACCTAATGCAATTTTTAACCCAGGTTTTTTTTCCTGAAAGTTTTCGGGCCGCCTAAATCCAAACATTGTTTTTGGTGAAATAATTTTTTTCGGGTTAGAAAAATGCTTTCAGTATAAACTTAAACAACTAAAACTAGATATAAAGTATGTGGAAAAGATAATCTATATATTGTTCAATATTTGAGAACTATCACTAAAATGAAAGCTAGACAAAAACAATGAATTCGGGAGTATTGATTTTGTTATAATGATTAAGCATAACACAGCAAAATGTGAATAATTGTTATCTCGGCTACATACTAAAATGTCTAGAATTGAGGGAAACTGGCTTTAAAACAAATTCTCAGTCGCCAAGCTGGGGGCTTCAAAAATGGTTTTACCCAAGACCTTGACCAAATTCAGCCGTGCCAACATTGCTACACACCCCACCCACCAACTATGCCCATTTTCTATATAGAAAAATCATATGAACCCTAGAATCATATTGGTTTTACAATCATTTTGTGATAAGATAATTTTTAATGTATGTACGTTTCAAAATCTACTTAGCTATAGCCCTTCAAACATCTAAATATGTGAGAAATGTGTGTACTGCATTGTAGTGGCACAACTATAAAAATGGAAATGACAGAAAGGACAATTTGTGAGCAAAATACTACATGCTACTCACATGTTGTATTTCCTGCTGGCTGGCTCTGTAGTTTTTCTTAGTTAAATTGTCCACCAGGTAGCTGATTTGAGACAAAGCCAGCGAGAGCGAGTCAAGATTCATTGCTGGTTGGGGCGAAAGCAGGCGGCCGTGCCCGGCGCAAAATCACCATTATTCCCCTTTAGTCACTTCAGTGATAGGTTACTTCTGCCCCCCCCCCCCCAAGGTGTGAAAAATGTATGTTTTAAAACAAGCTTCTTCTATCAGTGGATCTTGATGCAAGGTAAAGTCCCTCAGTGCAACATCAAATTCAGAATCTGAAAATAACAAAAGAGAAAACTAGTTAATACATATGCCCATATTAAAACGGTGATACAACTAGTACAAAATAATTGAGCAAATAATACATAGTCATATGATAAACTGGGGTTGTAAATACCAAAAGTGCACGGTGTACAACTGCCATGAGAAATGAGCCTCATTGACCACCAAAAATAATGGGGTAGGCTTCGAGGCCTACTACTCGCCTGGAGTAATCCTGATTCACACGCCAGCGCAATACTAAAGAAAACAGCAACACAACTAGCTAGTCAGCTACTTTGTAATTTACAGGTAGAAAGTCACCATTACTGAGTTATAATGATGATAAACCATGATAAATGTTATCTAAAACTATGTCCCCAACGTCGGTCTAGTAAAAGTATCAAGAAAGTTGGGCCTTGACTTGATGCACACCCACGACTCCCAGTTCAATCAGCATCGTGTGAGCTAATAATGCGGATGATTTCCTATATTCCTCTTCTAAACTGGCAACGCATAGTTAATCAATGAAGTCAAGCCAAAGTCGTTTTAGCTACATAAAGACAGTTATATAAGCTAATTATGTTTTCAGTGTCCCAGCAATAATGCAAATCGTTAGCTACTGTAGTTGACTAGCTAGTGAGATAATACGAACGGCAACTAAGTTAACGTTACCTAGCTAGATTAGTTAACGTTACGTAACATTCACATATTGTCGTTTGTGTCTCATCTAAAAAAATACAATTAAATGTGTTATCGCCCACATTGATAACGTACTTCGCTAACTACCGTTAGCATCTGTTCACTCGTTCTTTCGCAACATAGTTAGCTAGCAAACTTCGCTCACGTTAGCTAATAATATCAACGATAGCCATGTTTGCTAGCTGCAGAATATAACTGACCAACTTGGTCCGTTAACGTTAGCAAACGACAGTAACATTATGTAGCTAACATTAACCATCTGACATCTACAAGTCAACTTATCCATTGAGACAAAGAGCTAGCCAGCTAACGTTAGCAAGCCGGATAAGCAAGCACATTGCGCAGCCAACACCAGCTAGCTAAGTTAGCAGATGTGGCAAACGTCAGCCAGCCAATGTTAGCTAACGTTAACGCTCAGAAGGCCGTACGTTAGGCTGTTTTTCTGTCGTTGGCTAACTAATACAGTATTTGTTTACGTTGCAAATCCAACTATTCTATAAAACGATAGTTAGCTGGTCAATGTAATAGCGAGTGAGTATTGGTAACGTTATTGTCCACGGAAATAAATTGTCAACAAAATATCTAGCTAACGTTAGTTATAGTAGTAACGTCGTTAGTTAGATGACCTAGCTATGTATGACCAGGTAGCTAGCCAACTAACGTTAGCTAACTACTATACGGGTAACGCTCGTTAAATATCGTTAGCATGCCAATGTCGTTGTCAGAGTGCACCATCCGCGGACTTGAAATGAGTAAGTCATGTTAGACGTTAATATATGGACATTTTCACTAACCAACTCCGCCTTTTGAGATGAGACCATCCAACTGTCCCTAGCTGCTAACGTAAATCAACTTTAGCCAAGGCTATTGTAGCTAACTAGCTACCTTATCTTTGCTAACGTTAGCTACGACGCTTAACGGCTAGTCGCACACTTTCTATCTTACTAATGTGTCCTAATTTGTAGGAAAAAAATACCGCAGATTCTTTACAATATATTGTTAAAAAAAAAATACTCACCATGCTTCCCTAAATGTATTTGTGATATTCATTCCTTTTGGGTCGCTCTCCTTCCAGTTCGGTTTGATTTTTCAAAATAAAATGGCGACTGTCATCCCCGCGCGCACACAGTGCAGGTTTCACTTTAGTGCTCGAGCCCGGGCTCGCGTCACTATTATTGTGTATGCCATGCTTCCACATGAGCTAAATAGAAAACAAGATTAATTGATAATACATTTACCCTAAATGTACTTGGGCCATGCACCTAATCACATCCACCAAAAATTGTTTGAATGTAACAAAAGTCTGAATGTACATATATCCATAGGGCTGATTCTGATCATATGGCAGCTTGATTGTAATCTCTGTATATTTCGTTTCATGATGATGATCTTCTCTAAAGGAGAAGAACTATAATAACAGTCTATTGTTCACAGCTCTGAAATTACTGTTTGGTTGGAGATGGCCCCACTTGGTTGGGCTGAGAAGAGCTTCTGCCATATTGCTTACACCTGTCATGGACTGGTTTAAGGCTGTTCAGACTTCAGTCCTTTCAAATCAGTAAGCACTGAATAGATTGAGAAAAGGGCACAGGGGCAACAACTCGAGTGTCTGGGACTCTGTGTCCCCCTACTGCTGAAATATGGAACTCTATGGGGACAACAAACACAAGGCATATGTTCCATTTGTGCACTGTTACATAATGACTGACCTGCTATATGCAAGTTTGGTACTATGAAAACCTCTAGCACATTTAGATCTCCAAGCATGCACATTGTAGATGGAAATTAATACCAATAGGATGTAGAACAGAAAGTTTGAATATTTTTTTCTACGGCACTGCATCTCAGTGCTAGAGGCGTCACTACAGACCCTGGTTCGATTCCAGGCTGTATCACAATCCGGCCGTGATTGGGAGTCCCATAGGGCGGCGCACAATTGGCCCAGCATCGTCCGGGTTTGGCCAGGGTAGGCCGTCATTGTAAATAAGAATTTGTTCTTAACTGACTTGCCTAGTTAAATAAAGGTTAAATATATATTTTAATTTTTTTACATTAGCTCTCACAGTAGTCATTGGTGACAGATATTCAATCAAGTGATCTAAGGCTAGCTACCACACCAAAGGCATTTGTCAAGGAAATATCTTACCCAGTATTACTGATGCAGGATAGAGTGGCTGAGAATAAATAATGAAAACATCACTTTAAAATATGTAATTATTTACAGGCCACATTGGGATAGAGAAATAAACAAACATTCAAAGATTCATTGCAATGGGTTAGTGTCAAGACAAGCTTATTGTTTTCAATGATGAAATAACCTATTATAGACATTCAACCAAACCGCAGACTGGAAATAGACACCATGACCAACAACACTTCCCACAAATGTAAAACTGATCTAGAATGCAGTCAAATAAATACTGTATAATTAATAGTAGTCTACTGGAGAACAAGACCCTGTCAGCAGACCAGTAATGCCATGTATGATCAAACATGTTGGAAGATTAAAAGTGAAAGTGTTGTTGAGAGTAACTGAAAAGCAACTCATGATCTTTGCCCTTTCAGAAGTTTAGTCTTTTTGTTGTGGTTTTACAGGGCCTGGGAGTAGAACTAGAAGTCCAGCTTCTCTGAATCTCTCCACAGCATTTTGTTTTGGCTCATTACTTCAGAAATGACACAATGACTGAGGTTAAAGTGCAGACTGTCAGCTTTAATTTGAGGATATTTTCATCAATATCGGGTGAACGGTTTAGAAATTACAGCACTTTTCTTGTACATAGTCCACCCATTTTAGGGGACCAAAAGTATTGGGACAAATTCACATGTATTAAAGTAGTCAACATTTTAGTATTTGATCCCATATTCCTAGCACACAATGATTAAATCAAGCTTGTGAATCTACACATTTGCTGTTTGTTTTGGTTATGTTTCAGACTATTTTGTACCCAATAGAAATTAATGGCAAATCATGTAGTCATTTTAGAGTACATTTTATTGTAAAGAAGATAATGTTTCTAAACACTTCTATACTGAACAAAAATAATGCAACATTTTACTGAGTTACAGTTCATATAAGGAAATCAGTAAATTGAAATGAATTCATTAGGCCCTAATCTATGGATTTCACATGACTGGGCATATGCCCACCCACTTGGGAGCCAGGCCCACCCACTGGGGAACCAGGCCCATCCAATCAGAATGAGTTTTTCCCCACAAAAGGGCTTTATTACAGACAGATATACTCCTCAGCACCACCTCAGACGATCTCGCAGGTGAAGAAGCCGGATGTGGAGGTCCTAGGCTGGTGTGGTTAAACGTGGTCTGTGGTTGTGACGCCGGTCGGATGTACTGCCAAATTCTCTAAAACAAAGTTGGAAGCGGCTAATGGTAGAGAAATGAACATTTAAGTATTTGGCAACAGCTCTGGTGGACATTCCTCCAGTCAGCATGCCAATTGCGCGCTCTCTCAAAACTTGAGACATCTGTGGCATTCTGTTGTGACAAAACGGCACATTTTAGAGTGACCTTCTGTCCCCAGCACAAGGTGCACCTGTGTAATGATCATGCTGTTTAATCAGTTTCTTGATATGCCACACCTCTTAGGTGGATGGATTATCTTGGCAATGGAGAAATGCTCACTAACAGGGATGTAAACAGGTTTGTGGTCCAAATTTGAGAGAAATAAGTTATTGGGCACAAAATAATCTGAAACACAACCAAAACAAACAGCAAATGCATCCAACAAGTTTGTAGTCACAAGCTTGATGTAATCATTGCATGCTAGCAATATGGGACCAAATACTAAACTTTTGACTACTTTAATACACAAGTGAATTAGTTCCAATACTTTTGATCCCCTAAAATGGGGCGACCATGTCCAAAAAGTGCTGTAATTTCTAAGCGGTTCACCAGATTTGGATGAAAATACCATCAAATTAAAGCTGACTTAACCTCATAGCTACTGTATATCTTCAAATCCAAAAAGTGCTGGAGTACAGAGCCAAAAAAGTCACTATCCCAATACTTTTGAAGCTCACTGTATAGCCAAGCACAATGGCTAAATACAGTAGGTAGCCAGGAAGATGGCACCATGAGGGTATGGAGTAAACGTCAATTCATGATGGAAACTCAGTTCTGTCACAAATACTTGAATGGGGGCATCTAAAGCTATTTGATATGCTTAAACCTGGAAGTTAGTGCAATATGCCTTGGCAGATAGCATACAAGAATGGTGAGGATTTTGTAGATGGCTCAACTTCACTTGGGGTCCCCTCTGTTGGCGTGCAATGTGCTAAATGCAGGAAGGGGATTTGCATTCAAGAGTTTGCTTCTTTTGGTGCAACCATTCTCTGTAGCAATGTCCACAAAATAAATATTTAACATTTCTTAGTTTAGAAACAGTCACCACCAAAAGAGCCCTGAGCAGTCGTAACATAGCAGAGCAGTCGTAACATAGCAGAGCAGTCGTAACATAGCAGAGCAGTCGTAACATAGCAGAGCAGTCGTAACATAGCAGAGCAGTCGTAACATAGCAGAGCAGTCGTAACATAGCAGAGCAGTCGTAACATAGCAGAGCAGTCCACCATTCACTCATTGAAGTGACGACGATTGACATGTATGAACAAACAAGATTTTGGAATGAAAGTCAGGAAGACAGGCAGCATAATTCAATTTCCATAAAAAGGAGTCAAGGTCACAACTAAATGGGTTTCCTAGTGGCACTTGTAATACCAATGACATAAAAATGTTAATAAAATGAATGATCAGAAAATGTGTCCGAGATGATGGGTGATTTCATGTCGCTTATGAAAACAATAAAAAAAAGTTTCTTAAGTCAAGAGAATGGGTCCCTTAGAAAGACACCAACAGGAGCAATCTCTCACTTCGCCTATTCATGGTAATCACATTTTTGGCATTATCAACAACAACAAAAGACCACCAATTCAAAATCCAACCCGAGGTCTTTCAAGCCAATATAAGGGTATAGTGACAGGGAAAATAAACATACACTAACAATAACTGGATCAGTAGCCATAATTACATTTCTCACATACACTTTGTACAATTGCAAAGTTATCAGGGTCACTAAAGACACATTTATAAAAAAATAAATATTATTTCAAATTCATACAAATGAGTAAGACAAATATTCTTTGATCTTTTTTTTTCTTCAATCTTAGCCGACCTAGAAGATAAGAAATGTGTATCATCTCCCAAACATTTTAAATCAAATTTAGTTCCACATGTTAGTAGATTTTTGCTTAAATCCACCCATACAAATGTGATAGAGGCAACATATACAACCGGTTTGCGAATATAAAACATAAATCACACACCCGTTACATTAACCATTGTAACAGTATTGTCATTGTCACATCATAGCCATTATTAACTTTTTTCACATCATTCAAAACCATTAAAAGAAAAATAACAATAAAACACAAACACCAAAAGAGAAAGTGAAATAAATTAAGGATAACTTATATTTTCTGTAAATAAATTCAGTACATTTGCTACTTGATAGCTTTTTGCAATTTCAGAAACATTTCATAATAACAGCACTCTCAATGCTCCTGCCCTCCTTTGACCAATAGGTGGCACCAAAGGAACACATTTGATATGGTCAGTGATCCAACTAAAGAGCAATAAGGAGTCGTAACCCCTTCAGTAAACTGCATCAAAATATCCCCCCCTCTGAAATTCAATCACTGGTGTGATTGTAACAAGAGGGTAGACGAAAGGATATCATGAATATGCACTTCAGCACCATTTAAAATGAGTTCCAACACCATAGCATCATTCTTGCTCTTAAGTCAGACCAAACCAACTCAAGACAATGTCCCAAAGAGAGGTGATAAACTCTGGTAGCAGAAAGCTTGCCATTCTTGGCTTAAACAACATTATTTGCTTGTTGTGGCATAACAAGTAGTGTTGGTTGGAAGGGCTAGTGCAAGCCTTAAGTAAAATACACCAGTCAAAATAGATACCACAGTGCGTGGCTCAGATGCAGATGTTGTTGTATCAAACGTCATTTAAATTCCCACTGCCATGCATCTTTGGACAATCCAGTGTTGTTGCGGTGCTTCAACTCTGAAACAAAGCCATGTTTACTATATAGCTCTTTTGATGGCCAGATCATATACAATCCAATGTCACTGCTGAGGATCCTATACAATCCAATGTCACTGCTGAGGATCCATGCATTTTTATTTTTTGCGCACCATCACTTCACCATGGGAAACTGTGTGCTTGCTTGTGTAAATCCATTATCTTGTCATCCAATTAGGGCTGTCAAACGATAAAATAAACGGAGTTATCACGATGAATCACGATTAAATTGCAAATTCAGAGTTTGCTCAAATTGAGCTGTAATTGTAATTTGTTTATACAAAAAGCATTACAAGAATATTGAAGTCTTGATTTTGTCCAAAGTAACAGTTAGCCAAATCAGGTAAATTGATAAAGCACACTTTCTTCAACCTAAATGTCAACTTTTTTGGACATCGCATCGTTGTTTTAACTGTATAGATTCTGTATTTTGAATGTTTCAGTTTATTTTGAACGCTTTCAGACAATGCGATTAATCCCCCCAAAAAAATACAAATAAAAAGAGTGCACTAAAATTACAAAAAGTTAACTCAAGTTAACTGATTAATTCTGACAGCCCTACATCCAATACTTGCACATCAAGCATGTGGCCATTAATGTTTCAGGTCAATCCATCCAAGTGATGATTTTTGTAAAATGTGAGTCAAAACCGAAACAGTATATGGGCAGGGGGGTGAGTTGTGCCTTCTCAAAGTTCTTTCTGGAGACATCAGGGTCTTAAGTGCTATAGCAAGAAGTGGTTGTTCCTGCTCAGCTTGAGAATCTTCCCCAGTCTCTGCTTAGCGGTGGTCATACCTTTCTTAGGACGTTTTCCTGAGGAGAAAAACATTGCACAGAGATCAATAACAAAAGGATGAGCGAGATAGAGAGAGGAATAATGCTACGCTAATTTCAGCTAAATAAAATAAAGAAATATGGAGTCAAACCTTTAGTCGCTTGATTACTGATGGGTGGGGTGTTTGGAGCGGGCCTCTTGGAGGGGTGCCGGGGGGGTGACAGGGAGGTCTCACTGTACTGGTAGTCAGTCCCTGAGCTGGGGTCCAGGTGGAGGGGGCTAGAGGCAGCCTGAGAGGGGCTTTGGTCCCCCCAGGCCTCGCTGCTGTTACTGTTACTCCCACTGCTCTGACTGTCCATGAAGTTCTTGTTCTCCTGGATCCGCTGGCTAAGCTCGGCTCGACACTCCTTACGCACATGCTGCTGGGCCCTCCGCTCATCCTAAAGGAAGGCGAGACTATTACTTTAAATTGGATCTGCTGTTCTTTGAACAAAATCCCAACTTGTTACCTAGAGAGGAATATCAGTCATTCAAATACAGAGTGAGTGATTCTGATGTAGTCTCAAATTAGAGACATCAGTCTTAATAGACGTCAGTCTCAGCATGTGCAGGCATGACCCATTCATCCTTGATTATTACCTGAAGGCTCAGTGTGGAGTTGCTGTCTGAATCCTGGCTCTCCTCCCCTGACACAGGCTCTCTTCCACCTACAGAACAACCACAGAGAAAGTTTACTATCTGAAATGGATTACATTTACATTTTAGTCATTTAGCAGACGCTCTTATCCAGAGCGACTTACAGGAGCAATTAGGGTTAAGGGCACATCGACAGATTTTTCACCTAGTCGGCTCAGGGATTAGAACCAGCGACCTTTCGGTTACTGGCACAACGCTCTTACCCACTAAGCTACCTGCCGCCCTTGAATTAGGGGCTTAGTCAAATGGTGTTTATAAGCATTTCAGGACTGGAGTGTACCACTGTCGGGGGATTGATGGGCCGGCCTGGACCACCAGGGCTCCTGGGCAGTGCTGCTCTCCTCTGGTCGCTGAGGATAAAGCAGCCCTGCCATGGACAGCATGCCCTCAATAGCCTCTTCTTCTGTGGTTGGAGAGGTAGGGCGTTGTCTGAAAACGAGTATAGGAACAACTTAATGAATCTCTTAACTCAACTGGATAATGAATGAATCATGCAGAATCCTTAGAACAAGAATGCCACTTGGTCCATTCATCCATGCTTCCTGTACCTTTTGAGTGGTTTGTGGAAGTGGCGGAAGGCCTGGCTGGCCTGGTGCAGGTCCGTCACACTGCCTGTGCCTCGCTCTGTCCTGCATTGCTCCTTATCCTCCTCCTCTGAGCTCCCCGAATCTTCCCCTGAGGAGTCCTTTTTCTGCACAAATCACATAGACAACTTTACAACTTAAACACTTCTTCTGTTTGAAGGAGAGACAGGGCCCTTGAAAGGAAGTGGGATTAGCTACCTGCGTAGAGCAACGTTCTTTGGACTCAGAGTCTGAAATGTCGGAGTACACCGCGGCTCCTTCCCTGAGTTCGGTATTCACTCTTTCGAAAAACTCTGAGGAGGAAAAAGAGAAGGATGAATGAAATATCTCTGCACCTAATTTTTACGTGAAATTCTGGTGCATTCAAAGTTGAGCCTACCTAAACCGTTGATTGACAGCTGGTGACTTGACCAGTTAGACTCACTGCTGAGGGGGCTGGGTTTCTCCTCTCTCTCTTGGTCTCGGTGCTGTTCCTGCTTGCTGTCATTGATCTCTGTCTTCACCAGGACCCCTTCCCTCTGGTGGTCGCCAGTCCTCTTACCGTCCTGCACCAGACTACTCTTCAACCTGGTGTGACGACGCTCATCTCTGTGCACACATACACACAATAGTAAGAAGGGGAGAAATACCCTGGAGGCAAACAAATAGACAAACCACAGCATTTGGCACTGAAACCCATCTTACCTCCTGTTATTTTGGTTAAAGTTTATTTAAGTGATGAGTTGAAACATGTAAAGATTGCATAGTGCAGGTGGTACGTCCTAACATGTTAAGGCTGCACAATGGCAGCTCTGAGTTGTAACATGAAACCGCTCTAGCCAATAAGTCGAGCAGTGCGGAGCATCGTCAAAGCCAGTCAGAGGTGTTGGGTGTTGAGTAGGTAGTGAGTCATTGCTCTACCTGTGGGGAGGTGATGCATGACTCAGGACTTGAGTTGTCGGGGGGCAGAGGAACCATTAACCCAGGCCCCAGATCCTAGGCTCCTTCCCTGGAAAGGTCACAGGCAGCCTAGGGGCCAAGGGTGCCAGAGAGGGGGGTGGGGGTTCTTCCAACTCACCTAATAATCCTGCCATTGCACATCACTAGTAGGAGGTTGTTGTCCAGGCTCCGCTCCACCGCTGCAGCCGATGCCATGGACGGCTTGTTGAACTTGGCCATCACCGTGGAGCTGAATGCGACATCCTGAGAAAGTGGCATAGAGATTTACTTTAACAAAAGTTTATAATGAACCTAGCCTCAGTGTATGAGTAACGTCCTCCAAGACATGGATAATCCAGGAGAAATGGAGTTGCACAATGGGTTACACCAAGCAGCATGGGGGAGAGGGTAGTGTGTGCCCTCACCTCCTCAAAGGGTCCCACCTCCAGCCTCTTGAGCACCTGTCGTGTGTGCAGCTCCAGGATCTCCAGGTTGGAGGGGGTCTTGGGCGCATGGTGATGATGGTGGTGGTGCCGTAGCCGCCTAGCTGTCCTGCGAGCATGATGGCTAGCCTTGTCCAGAGTTGACCGCGTCAGCAGGCACGCTCCACATCCCTGAGATTTAATTGGCTTGCTACCTCCACTCTGCTCCTCCTCCTGTGGTTAAGAGATGCTAGTTAGTACAGAACCACAACGCTACAATATCCAGCTTCAAAGAAACACAGTGCTTTTGACCTGGTATTTATAAAAGACAAAGAGGAAAAGATGATGAGGAACAGCCAACTTTTACTCTGAGCACAAATGTTTAGAACCAGCTCCAAGTACTGTGAGCTTTACTTCTCCTTTATGTTTTCACATTACAGCCTGAGGACCTCTTTCCCCTCCCAGGCTCCACGCTGGGCCTTACCTCCAGGTAGCGGATTTCCTTTGTGAGTTCTTTAATCAGATGGTTGGGTCTGATATGGTCCGGGACCTCGCTGGCCGGCTCTGTGACCTGAGGAGAGGCAGAGAGCAGGGGGATAATGAGGGGCTTGTACGGTCTGTCTGCAGATGGTGGTTACAGGTTCCCAGCCAGGTCATACCATCACACCGGATACAACCTGCCCACCATTGACCTTGAAGGAGCCCAGTGTAGATTACAGTAGAGTGTAGATAATGTGCCCAAACGTCCTATTCTGTAAAGTCGGATGTTGCACGGACAAAATAATCTGGTTTCCTGTAGTATCCTACCTCTCGTTTCAGCCAGTTCTTCAGTGCAGTAATCAAGGCTTTCACTCCATCTGTCAGGTAGGCTGGGGGCTGGCAGTTATCCTCTCGTAACTCTGAGAAGACAGGAATCTTATGAGAAGGATGTTGAAAAAAAAAGGGCAAGTGTCACCAAAGAAGGGGACATCACCGAAACAGCAACAAACACTTCCGCAAAGTGGTATTTCTCTCACCTTTTAGAGTCTCCAGTAGATTTTTGGCCACGTACCAGCAGATGGCCTCAAAGTAAGGGAATTTGAAAAGGTCCGGAGTCTTTAACCGCCACTCCATCTCATAACACCTGTAGTTGAGGATGCAGCAATAGAGGTCAAACACAGCTCCACAGTGCTGAGACCTAGGGTGACCACATTTAAAATACTCAAATGCGGGACAACGGGATGATTTTGCAGGACGGTAGCCTACAATAATATTTTTAAATATGTGATTGGTTGACGATATGACATTGACCTACGTCTCTTCTTGCGCTGCGCAGAATATCAGATCTCAACAACGATTGGCGAAGTGTTTAACATCACCAGTAACACATCCTTACTGTTATATGTCTTGTCATAAGCACAACGTGACTGCAAAAGAGACGGGTTGGAATGTCAATTCTCATCAAATGAATAGGAAGTCTGACTGAAATACAGGACAAATCTAACTTTTTTTTGTATATTAGTGGCGTTTTAATTTATTGACACACACACACACACACAACAAAACTATAAAACGCAACATGTAAAGTGTTGAACCCATGTTTCATGAGCTGAAATAAAAGATCCCAGAAATCTTCCATATGCACAAAAAGCTTATTTATCTCAAATTTTGCGCACAAATTTGTTTACATCCCTGTTAGTGAGCATTTCTCCTTTGCCAAGATAATCCATCCACCTGACAGGTGTGGCATATCAATAATCGGATTAAACAGCATTATCATTACACAGGTGCACCTTGTGCTGGGGACAATAAAAGGCCACTCTTAAATGTGCAGTTTTGTCACAACACAATCCACAGATGTCTCAATTTTGAGGGAGCGCGCAATTGGCATGCTGACTGCAGGAATGTCCACCAGAGCTGTTGCCAGAAAATTGAATGTTCATTTCTCTACCATAAGCCGCCTCCAATGTCGTTTTAGAGAATTTGGTAGTACGTCCAACCGGGCCTCACAACAGCAGACCACGTGTAACCACGCCAGCCCAGGACCTCCACATCCGGCTTCTTCACCTGCGGGATCATCTGAGACAAGCCACCTGGACAGCTGATGAAACTGAGGAGTATTTATGTCTGTAATAAAGCCCTTGTGGGGAAAAACGAATTGATTGGCTGGGCCTGGCTCCCAAGTGGGTGGGCCTATGCCCTCCCAGGCCCACCCATGGCTATGCCCCTGCCCAGTCATGTGAAATCCATAGATTAGGGCCTAATGAATGTATTTAAATCGGCTGATCTCCTTATATGAACTGTAACTCAGTAAAATCATAGAAATGGTTGCCTTTATATTTTTGTTCAGTATAATATACATATATACATATACACATATATATATATATATATACACATACACACATTCCCGAAATCCAATCAGTTTTTCACGTTGATTCATCATCACATTTTCTTGTTGTTTTTAGAAATGAAGTGGAAACAACGTTGATTCAACCAGTTTGTGCCCAGTGGGATCACAGTCAAACCATAGACATTCTACCACTACTTCATTACTGGTCATTAAAAGGAGCAGAAGATAACAGCTGTGTATTTGGCCATTAATTTCATAATGTTATTACTTAGGTTAATACCAATAAAGAAAGTTAATAGAATGAGCATAGGCCAGAGGGGCAGTATTTCAGGTGCTCACCTGAGCTGCATGCCTATGTTGAGGTTGTGGAGGAAGTTCCCTCCGAATGCCATGCAATCCTGAGAGGTGAGAACAGCATGGATCCATCCTGGGAACACAGAGGAGGATGGACCAAATCAACAGCTAACCCACCGATGTGGAGCAAAAGGCCAGTAGCAGGCAGAAAAAACACACGCACACACAGTCCGCCAACTGAAAATCAATCCATCACCCTCTCCAGTTTCAAGTTTCTCTGAAATCTGCTTTGCATGAAATACATTTAAACATTTAATTTGGAACATTTTGGAATTCTTGCTTTCCAGCTGTGTGTTTTAGACACATCAAAGGGTTTAGGAAATGGTTCTGTTACACCAGAGGATATATCCTTCCATGTGGCAGCAGTGCAGCCAAACAGGTGTGATGATGCTGTGCCGGTGGACCCTAAACATAATAAATGCCCTGTCATGGAGGGTGAACACGGCGTTGCTGTGGCCCCAGCAGAGAGAGGACGGTAGCCGCTCAAGAGATTATATGGATGGCTGATACCAGGTGGGGTTCTCTCTCATCCCCTGCCTGTCTGCAGGTCGCCTACATACCAGCCATTAAGAGCCCAACTCTGACCTTCCCTACCAGGGGGCCTTTGGCTTCCCGTGATAAACCATTTCAGACACTGTAATTATGTTAAAACATAATTGTAACAATAATTTGCACCTTAATCCATAAAGGTGTGTGCTCATGCTGATGAGCCATAGTTAAAATTCTCTACAATTCTCTTTAGCTGAAATGTTATTTCATTTACATTAATCTACGACATCAGGAGATAGAAACATATGTTGTATTAGTCTTGGCACTTTCCCTGGAGAAAACATCCTTAGCTTGCTTGTTTTGGCAAACACCCTGGAAAGTCCACCCAAACGCACATTGAGATTGGGAAAGGGAAAGGGGGATGCCTAGTCAGTTGTACAACTGAATGCATTCAACTGAAATGTGTCTGCCGCATTTAACCCAACACCTCTGAATCGGAGAGGTGCGGGGGGCTGCCTTAATCGACGTCCACATCGTCGGCGCCCGGGGAGCAGTTGTTGGGGGTTAACTGCCTTGCTAAAGGGCAGAAAGGCAGATTTTCCACATTGCCGGCTCGGGGACCCGAACCAGAGACCTTCGGTTACTGGCCCAACGCTCTTAAGCTAGGTAGCCCATGGCTACCATGTTTATGAGTGTCATGCTTAAGCGGGACACTGATTAACAATGTCTTTCATGGGGATTAACATTGTTTGCATATTAAAGAATGCTGGTTGTGTCCGTTTATGTACTGAGGTGTGTATGTACTGGGGGCCTGTGGGAACGGTTTGACAGGCTGGTGGAGAGGGACCATGAGCGTGACCCAATATGGATCTGGGCCGGGCCTCTCTCCCAGTAGGGAGCCACTCGTAATGTCACTCTCTCACAGCGTCTGCTAGCATCATCAGCCCAGAGAGCTTTACACACCCCAGCCCACCAACTGGGAAAAGCAGCTCTGTGTGAAGCTGTGTGGTTTCCCTCTAGTGAAAAAAATGTCACTATAAATAACTTGGAAATCTGCTTCTCCGCCGTGTGGCTACAGAAACTGGATAATAAAATAAATACACTGCTCAAAAAAATAAAGGGAACACTTAAACAACACAATGTAACTCCAAGTCAATCACACTTCTGTGAAATCAAACTGTCCACTTAGGAAGCAACACTGATTGACAATACATTTCACATGCTGTTGTGCAAATGGAATAGACAACAGGTGGAAATTATAGGCAATTAGCAAGACACCCCCAATAAAGGACTGGTTTCGCAGGTGGTGACCACAGACCACTTCTCAGTTCCTATGCTTCCTGGCTGATGTTTTGGTCACTTTTGAATGCTGGCGGTGCTTTCACTCTAGTGGTAGCATGAGACGGAGTCTACAACCCACACAAGTGGCTCAGGTAGTGCAGCTCATCCAGGATGGCACATCAATGCGAGCTGTGGCAAGAAGGTTTGCTGTGTCTGTCAGCGTAGTGTCCAGAGCATGGAGGCGCTACCAGGAGACAGGCCAGTACATCAGGAGACGTGGAGGAGGCCGTAGGAGGGCAACAACCCAGAAGCAGGACCGCTACCTCCGCCTTTGTGCAAGGAGGAGCAGGAGGAGCACTGCCAGAGCCCTGCAAAATGACCTCCAGCAGGCCACAAATGTGCATGTGCCTGCTCAAACGGTCAGAAACAGACTCCATGAGGGTGGTATGAGGGCCCGACGTCCACAGGTGGGGGTTGTGCTTACAGCCCAACACCGTGCAGGACGTTTGGCATTTGCCAGAGAACACCAAGATTGGCAAATTCGCCACTGGCGCCCTGTGCTCTTCACAGATGAAAGCAGGTTCACACTGAGCACATGTGACAGACGTGACAGAGTCTGGAGACGCCGTGGAGAACGTTCTGCTGCCTGCAACATCCTCCAGCATGACCGGTTTGGCGGTGGGTCAGTCATGGTGTGGGGTGGCATTTCTTTGGGGGGCCGCACAGCCCTCCATGTGCTCGCCAGAGGTAGCCTGACTGCCATTAGGTACCGAGATGAGATCCTCAGACCCCTTGTGAGACCATATGCTGGTGCGATTGGCCCTGGGTTCCTCCTAATGTAAGACAATGCTAGACCTCATGTGGCTGGAGTGTGTCAGCAGTTCCTGCAAGAGGAAGGCATTGATGCTATGGACTGGCCCGCCCGTTCCCCAGACCTGAATCCAATTGAGCACATCTGGGACATCATGTCTCGCTCCATCCACCAACGCCACGTTGCACCACAGACTGTCCAGGAGTTGGCGGATGCTTTAGTCCAGGTCTGGGAGGAGATCCCTCAGGAGACCATCTGCCACCTCATCAGGAGCATGCCCAGGCGTTGTAGGGAGGTCATACAGGCACGTGGAGGCCACACACACTTCTGAGCCTCATTTTGACTTGTTTTAAGGACATTACATCAAAGTTGGATCAGCCTGTAGTGTGGTTTTCCACTTTAATTTTGAGGGTGACTCCAAATCCAGACCTCCATGGGTTGATAGATTTGATTTCCATTGATAATTTTTGTGTGATTTTGTTGTCAGCACATTCAACTATGTAAAGAAAAAAGTATTTCATAAGATTATTTCATTCATTCAGATCTAGTGTATATTCCCTTTAACGAGTATCAATTCATTTTGAGCGCGTCATCACCTATTTGACTTGCCATGTAAATCGGAGGACCATATGATGTGGGGAAGTTCTGTGAACCAAAGTGGACGGAAGGAAGGTGGCATGTGGTGCTGGTGTCCACGGTGACAAAGGAGGTCCACAGTGGAAGACAAATCACACAGGCCTTCCTGTGAGACGCCATTAAAGGCTAGCTGCTACGCTCAATGCCAAGTGGAAAAGCAGCTCTATGGCTCCTTATGGCTCTTGTGTTTTTGAATGCCCTGAAGCAGAGCTTTGGAAATATAGTGCTGTATATGAGGCATGTTTTAACAGTAGAGCAATTTGAACCCTTTGAACTCAGACAAGTTCCTTATAAAAATTAAAAATAAAAATAAAACTTTGTCCTCACCTGTGGGGATGAGGACAGTGGTTCCTTGCGGCACCACACACTTGTAGCACTGGTCCACCTTGTCCCCGAAGAACACCTCGCTCTGGTTGGGGGACGAACTCCACGCCTCGTATAGCGCAAGATTCGCCTGGGTCGGCTTGATCAAGTAGAAAATCTTCTCTCCCTTCAGGACAAAGATGAAAAATGAGAACATTTGAATTACTAACATAAAAAAGGGAAGGCAAATGAACAAGACCCAGCATGTCGTCAGTGGTGCTTGAGTAAGAACTTGAGGGGTGACAGACCTCAGGAGAAGCATGTGGTTAATCATGCTGGGCTGTCAGACTACATAGCCAAAGCAAACAGGCTTGAACAACTCTTGTGCGTAACCGTAGCACATATTTCAAAAGGGATACGCTGCTGTCTGAAGATATAAAATATGCTGCGCAAAGGAATTCCCCAGTTTACCCAGAGTACATGGTACCACACAGATGTGCCTCCGAAGTCTATGTGGAAGTCTGTGTAGCTGTTCTTCACCCCCATCAGGCAGTACTTCTGAACAAAGGGCTTGGGGAAGAAGGAGTCATCTGGCCAGTAGTTCTCCACCCAGGACATCTTCTGAGCGATATCAGGCACCACCACCAGCGCTGCCATCCTGACAGGATACAAAGGAGAGTTTAGGGATGCTCTACCAGTAAGGCAGAGTTGTTCGTCACGCTACTCATCTTTCAATACATCCCTCATTGCTCACTAATAAGGCTGAACCGTTTGTCATGTGACACCTTCAGATCACTGTTCGCCAAATCAGCCAGGCATTTGACCAATGAGATTCATTTAAAATAATGCATTTCTCCCCACCTCTTTGCCGTTTTTGCTTTCTGTTTTACAGATCACCCACCCTGGCACAAACAGGTCTGAAGCCTCGTCTTACCGTAGTGGGGATGGGCTTCATCGCCCCCTGCCTGCTAATCAGGCAGAGCTGATGGTTCTAAATCAGTTGGACTGGATGGGGTTCCTCCAGAGGACACCTTTTCAGATGACAAGACCCTTCGCCATACACATTCTTTTATAAAAAATGCAATCTTTAAAATGATCAGTTCCACTGTGAAGCCTGGTAGAACATTGATGCTTCAGTCATGAAGGATCAAAGCTCAGTCTCATATTTTTTTCCAAACCCTTCCATCTCTGTAAATAGGCTGCATGCAAAGTGCCTGTGGGCAGTGGATTCCTTCCGCTTGTCTGTAGTTGACAGCAGATCTTCAATAGTGCCGTCAGCGCTGTACCTCTGAACACAGCAAGAATGTGCATCCCTGTTGTCTGGAGTGCAACGCTCATCTCCTCTCACTACTACGCTTGCAAGTTTCGGAAATATACATTTTTCCCCAATTATAGTCCTACAATTTCACTGAACCACAGGAGTATTCACTGAATCATAGCATGTAATCTAAAACAATTGCTATTAAGTGCTTTTAGCTACAATTATTATAATGGTGAATATTTAGTGAATCCAGAAAAGACTCAAGTCAATCCAAATTATACAATGATCAAAGCAGCAGCAGGACATTTATTAGTAGTGAAAAGTAACCAATACTTACTTGGTGTCTGAAAACTCCAGACTGATCACATTCAGCACCTTTGGCCGATGAGGTTTGTAGTAATACTTGACAAACTCTCTTAGTTTCATTTTGCTGTCTGCCTGTCTGGCAACATCAATGACATCCACGATTTTGTCACCACCTGCAAGAGAATGCTTCAGCTCAGATGATTTATGCCATGCAGGAGGCAGTTAGGACTAAAGTTGAGGATAGGACAGGCATTAACAACACTTGAATGTAGCATGTTAGGTAAGGACAGGTGCCAGATGGATTTGAAATGATATTACAGCCATATTATAGGCGTGACTCGTGACAGAATATCACACAACAGCAGACTAATAAATGCTAAGCTCTGCTTTCAAAAAAATACTGTAACATTTTGAATTCTACCAGGGATAGACAAACCAGTCCAATCCCTGCCCTCTCCCCCAGCCCAGCCACGGGGCCAGTCAGAGGCACTCTAGAGTTCTCAAGCGCAGATGTCCAGTGATGGAGGTCGCAAGGTGTGAAGCTTGCTGACGCGTTCATAATCCCCCTTATACTTCTGATGGATGCCTCAGTGCTGCTGCAGTCTCCCCACTGGAGGAGGTGCATTGTAACATCCAAAGCAATCTCTCCAGATAAAATTACTGTACTCCCAGTTATGGAGGCAGCAGGAGGAGGAGGAGGAGGAGGAGGGAAGGCTAGAAGTGGGGCTAGTAAGAGTTGGCTAATGTCTTTCATGTGTGTAAATAACATCACCTGTGTACAACTGGCAAACTGCAAATAAAAAATGGCGGAGGGGGAACGCTGAACAGACCTGCCGATAACATGGGGCAGTACCAGGACAGCTGGTGGTTGTACAAGCACAGCCCTGTTTGGCCCCGCTGGCCACCGCCTGATGTCAGGGAACTGCTGGAGGCAGAGCAGCCTCACATACAGAACGGCCAGGGGAGCACTGGTGCACAAACGGGGAAGGGCGCTACCTGGGCGTAGTACGACCAACGACAAGTGGGGGCAATAAATCTCTCCAGCCACAAATGTCCTGGGAAAATATTTATGGTCCTCATATTAGCAATTATGTCCCTTCATCAATCTTTTCATCCAGTGACAGTCAGGGACCAGGAGCACATGTTTCCTGGAGAACAGATGGGGCTTTCTTAGTACCAGGTCTAGTACAAGTGCTTGGATAGTGTGATGTTAAAACCATGCTCCAAAAAGGACAATAGCTGATTTACAACAGGTTTGCCATTAGGCCAAATGGAGACGGCATGGAAAACACATTTTTTAATACAATAACTTACAGGTAGGTTCCTGCTGGGCCTAGCAGGCAGAGTGCCCACTGAGGTAAATTGATTAGCTGGGCAGCTGGCCTGTGGTGAATGCTTGAGTTATGAAGAATTTAAACAATGTGAATATAATAATATTAATAATAGATTTATATAGTGCTTTTCATTACAAACAGAATCTCAAAAAAAAAAAAAAATAATAATAATAAATATATATATATATATATATACACACACACACATACATACAGTGGGGAGAACAAGTATTTGATACACTGCCGATTTTGCAGGTTTTCCTACTTACAAAGCATGTAGAGGTCTGTAATTTTTATCATAGGTACACTTCAACTGTGAGAGACGGAATCTAAAACAAAAATCCAGAAGATCACATTGTATGATTTTTAAGTAATTCATTTGCATTTTATTGCATGACATAAGTATTTGATCACCTACCAACCAGTAAGAATTCCGGCTCTCACAGACCTGTTAGTTTTTCTTTAAGAAGCCCTCCTGTTCTCCACTCATTACCTGTATTAACTGCACCTGTTTGAACTCGTTACCTGTATAAAAGACACCTGTCCACACACTCAATCAAACAGACTCCAACCTCTCCACAATGGCCAAGACCAGAGAGCTGTGTAAGGACATCAGGGATAGAATTGTAGACCTGCACAAGGCTGGGATGGGCTACAGGACAATAGGCAAGCAGCTTGGTGAGAAGGCAACAACTGTTGGCGCAATTATTAGAAAATTGAAGAAGTTCAAGATGACGGTCAATCACCCTCGGTCTGGGGCTCCATGCAAGATCTCACCTCGTGGGGCATCAATGATCATGAGGAAGGTGAGGGATCAGCCCAGAACTACACGGCAGGACCTGGTCAATGACCTGAAGAGAGCTGGGACCACAGTCTCAAAGAAAACCATTAGTAACACACTACGCCGTCATGGATTAAAATCCTGCAGCGCACACAAGGTCCCCCTGCTCAAGCCAGCGCATGTCCAGGCCCGTCTGAAGTTTGCCAATGACCATCTGGATGATCCAGAGAAGGAATGGGAGAAGGTCATGTGGTCTGATGAGACAAAAATAGAGCTTTCTGGTCTAAACTCCACTCGCCGTGTTTGGAGGAAGAAGAAGGATGAGTACAACCCCAAGAACACCATCCCAACCGTCAAGCATGGAGGTGGAAACATCATTCTTTGGGGATGCTTTTCTGCAAAGGGGACAGGACGACTGCACCGTATTGAGGGGAGGATGGATGGGGCCATGTATCGTGAGATCTTGGCCAACAACCTCCTTCCCTCAGTAAGAGCATTGAAGATGGGTCGTGGCTGGGCCTTCCAGCATGACAACAACCCGAAACACACAGCCAGGGCAACTAAGGAGTGGCTCCGTAAGAAGCATCTCAAGGTCCTGGAGTGGCCTAGCCAGTCTCCAGACCTGAACCCAATAGAAAATCTTTGGAGGGAGCTGAAAGTCCGTATTGCCCAGCAACAGCCCCGAAACCTGAAGGATCTGGAGAAGGTCTGTATGGAGGAGTGGGCCAAAATCCCTGCTGCAGTGTGTGCAAACCTGGTCAAGACCTACAGGAAACGTATGATCTCTGTAATTGCAAACAAAGGTTTCTGTACCAAATATTAAGTTCTGCTTTTCTGATGTATCAAATACTTATGCCATGCAATAAAATGCAAATTAATTACTTAAAAATCATACAATGTGATTTTCTGGATTTTTGTTGTAGATTCCGTCTCTCACAGTTGAACTGTACCTATGATAAAAAGTACAGACCTCTACATGCTTTGTAAGTAGGAAAACCTGCAAAATCGGCAGTGTATCAAATACTTGTTCTCCCCACTGTATATATATATATATATTTTTTTTTTTCCCCCCAAAACTAATCTACCCCCAAAGAGACCCATACATGAATAAGGTTATTCATTGACTGGACCATTTTAATTTCATTGTCAGAGGTTGACACCTTAACCTAGACTGATTACGGCACGGGCTTAGCTTAAAGATGCACTATGCAGAAATCGCTCCGCCATTTCCTGGTTGCTAAAATTCTAATAGTTCAACTAATTTCAGATTATGTGACGAAACAAGCAAGTAAAGTGTAGAGAATCATTGTATCATTTAAACCGCTGTGAAATATATTTTCCATAACCAAAAATATTGTATTTTCAGCTACTGTATAAAACCTAAATTAAAAGACGCAAAAACGAAACTTTAGAACGGAAAGCATTGAAGAGCGCACATAGAACAGATCTAAAGCTTCTTAGACTTGCTTTCAATGAGAATGACAGATCTATAAACACACACTTCTATGTGAATTTGGTCAGGTCGCCCATAAAGTTACATATTGCAGCTTAGGAGCTGAAAGCCAAGTAGCTTTCAGGAGTCCCAGAGCCATGAAGACTATGTGAGAATGAAGTGTGACGAATCACTGGGAGAAGTCTGTGTGCTTCTGCCAGTGGCAAATAACTGTGTTCAGACCTACAGAACAGTACGTAGAATGATTTAATATGCCATTTAGCAGACGCTTTTATCCAAAGCGACTTACAGTCATGCGTGCATACATTTTTTTTGTGTATGGGTGGTCCCGTGAAATAAAAAACCTTGAGACACAATGATTCCCATGCTAAGAGGCACAACGGCCAGTGCAGCACTTTCTCAGGTTAGTTGCAAAAGTGAGATGGTTTTGGCTCCACTCTTTGTGTGTGTGTGTGTGTGTGTGTGTGTGTGTGTGTGTGTGTGTGTGTGTGTGTGTGTGTGTGTGTGTGTGTGTGTGTGTGTGTGTGTGTGTGTGTGTGTGTGTACACAGTAGACTGAAGGAGCAGAGTGAACGAAATTTGAACCTAAAAGAAACTTAGCCGGACATGAATCTGAGATGTCTGATAATGTACTGGGAAAGGGGATCCCATAAGTACCAGACTCCATAGTTGAGAGAGGTGATGAACCACTGTCCTCGGTAAACTAATCCACCATTATCTACATACGTTTTAATTATTGGTGGATTAAAGGTAGACTTAAAAGTAAACAGCATTGTGGGTCAATTTCCGCAACAACTAAGAGCGCTGAAGTGCGAGGCTCAACTTCACTGTTTTGGTGTCCTGGCTACCACACTGTGAACAGTGTGAGGCGAACCCCTGCACTAGAGGTGTCCTCCCGAGTGGCGCAGTGGTCTAAGGCACTGCATCGCAGTCAGGGTAGGGGAGGGAATGGCCGGCAGGGATGTGGCTCAGTTGGTAGAGCATGGCATTTGCAACGCCAGGGTTGTGGGTTCGATTCCAGTAAAAAAATAAAAAAAATAAAAAAAATGTATGCACTCTAACTGTAAGTCGCTCTGGATAAGAGCGTCTGCTAAATGACTAAAATGTAAATGTAGAGATTGACACAGGAGTGAAAATTCATTCCTGTCAATTTTTTTCCTGTACTGTTCTGATCCAGCAACAGTTCCATAACCCCGGAACTTTCCTGTCCCTTCCGATAAAAATCCCTCCTGTCCTGTGCTCATTTTTATGCGCAGAAATATGTAGGCTGTTGTGTGTGTTTAGGATGTTTTGAAAATAATTTCAGTAATGCAATATGCGACTGTGATGTGGTTGTCTTAACGATCTTAGTTAAATGAACCGACTGTAAGTCGCTCTGGATAAGAGTGTCTTCTAAATCAGGGGTTCCTAAACCTTTTCACTCAGGCCCCCCTTCCAGCATTGGTGCACATCCCACGCCCCCCCTGTACGAGCACACGCCACGTCCATTTCTATGGGCACAAGCACTGCTCATGACACAAACTTCTCACCCCTCTTGTTGGCAGAGAGAAAATGTTGCAGGTTTAAAGTTCATTTCCTGCAATGCTACACATTTTGTCATGTCTAATGTGTATTCATGTGATGAGTGACTCGAACATTACTACAAAATCTATAGGCAAAAAAACCTATCTAAAAAACGTTAGCTGACATTTCTGACAGGTTATAAATAGCTCTCTCTCTCTAAGCTATGCAATGACTGACATGACAAGATGGAAACTGATGATGCACTACCCAATTTCACCTTGCTCGCCCCACAGTTTGGGAACCACTGTTCTAAATGAACTAAATGTTGATGATGTAAGGCTGGAGGATAGAGATCCCAGCAGGATGGTCTGCTCAGCACCGGCATAAAACCGTAGCCTACAGCTGAGCACTGCACACATATGAACATTTAGGCCACAACATTTACAACATGAAGTAAAAAAAAAAAAAAAAAGAGTGGTAGTACTGCATCAGTCAATCTATTTGTATTTCACTCTTCACCTCAGATGGCACAGGTTTAGTTAAATAGGCAAACAATTGGGCTTGACCGGTAACGTTGTTGGGAGTAGGCCTAGAGGAGCTATGCCACACCGCTTGTACCCCTCTCCGGTTGGTAGCCCATTTGATAAAAGCACAGCATTTTTATTTTTCAAGCCGTGTACTCGGTTCCTACATTGTCAAAGACAACTATCAAATTTAGCTAAAACATTGCTCTTTCCTTGGCTCTAATGTTAATGATGGGTCCTTGGCTGCAACTCCTCTCTTGAAGGCTTCATCATTCACTGACAGTCTATGTTGGCATCTGAGGTAAACTAGTGACTGGCTACAACTGGAGCGGGGCATGAGAGTGAGCCAACGGAAGGGGGAGGGGGGAAATGAGCATTTATTTTGTATAGATTTATTTTTATTGTTTATATACCTATTCCTGTACAACCCGTTCCTGTAGACTGTCGATCCGGTCCCGAACTAGACTCTAGAACTTGACTCCCATTCCTGCCGGAATCCCGCAAGAGTCCTGTTCCCGTGTTAAACATCTACCGTGCACATGCGCAGATACTGTGTGAGAGCCAAGTCTTGCATCTCACTCATCTCAATATATGCGATGCTGCTCATGGCAACGTCATTTCGCTGACTATACCTTTAATGTAATATGTAAAAAGGTGGACCCAGTAAACCTCCCAGCTCTATTACCGGAGATGGCCCAGAGGCACATTCATTTACAGTAATGTACAGACACGTTACAAGGCAAGCACTTAGGATTAATATTTAAATCCTCAACAAGATGCTCAGCTAGCATCTCATTAGCAAACACGTTTGATTTAACATCTTCCTCAGTGGTAAATTATCCAAAAATGTCTAACAGATATTAGTACACTGACCCAATTCCTTTGAAAATGGGGCGGTTTTAAAAATAAATATGGCACAGTTAATGTACACAAAGCAAACAGGCACCAAAACAGCGTACTATGACAGAGTGACCTAAACAGCACATACTGTGAGAGAGTGCTCTAAAGAGCACATACTGTGAGAGAGTGATCTAAACAGCACATACTGTGACAGAGTGATCTAAACAGCACATACTGTGAGAGAGTGATCTAAACAGCACATACTGTGAGAGAGTGATCTAAACAGCACATACTGTGAGAGAGTGATCTAAACAGCACATACTGTGAGATAGTGATCTAAACAGCACATACTGTGACAGAGTGATCTAAACAGCACATACTGTGAGAGACTGATCTAAACAGCACATACTGTGACAGAGTGATCTAAACAGCACATACTGTGAGAGAGTGATCTAAACAACACATACTGTGAGAGAGTGATCTAAACAGCACATACTGTGAGATAGTGATCTAAACAGCACATACTGTGACAGAGTGATCTAAACAGCACATACTGTGAGAGAGTGATCTAAACAGCACATACTGTGAGAGAGTGATCTAAACAGCACATACTGTGAGCGAGTGATCTAAACAGCACATACTGTGAGAGAGTGATCTAAACAGCACATACTGTGACAGAGTGATCTTTTCTTAAAATGTTCTCTTCTTACCGACATACTCCTCCACATCCCTGACAGAGAAGCTGGAGGGGGGCAGCTTGAGACCCAGTCCGACCAGTTCGGGAACGGCGATGGGGTAGCTGAAGCCCTGCTTCTCCAGGTACTTGTGTGTTACCTGATGCCCCTGCATCTGCACCAGGATCTCAGCCGCACTGCATCAAAGGAAAGAGGGGTAATTTACATTACTACAGAGTTAACAAGTAAGAAAGATTAGCAAAAAATAAAAAAGGAAATAGTAACACAATAAAATAACTATAACCATAGCTGCAGGAAGTAGTTTGGGGGTGGGGGTGCTGCGATTTTTGCAGAAAAATGTTTTTGCCCCCGATGAAGACGTCTATAAATCGGTCTGCTAATACAGGACTAGTAAAAGGCCCAGTGCACTAGTTTTGTGAAAAAACGTAAGCTAAATGTATTGGAGTGCTTACCAGCATTTGTAACTTGAGCCTGATCATTAATCTGATAATACTTGTGGAATATAAAAATACTTGCTTGATATGTTTTTCAGTTTCTTGCAAATGCAACTTATTTCTATGTTAAAACTGAAATGGTCTCTTCTTTCCTTTTCCATTTTAGTAGACGCTTTTATCCAGAGCAACTTAAAGTAGTGAGTGCATACATTTTCATACTTTTTCGTACTGGTCCCCCGTGGGAATCGAACCCACAACCCTAGCATTGCAAGTGCCATGCTCTACCAACTGAGCCACATCATCATATCACATCATCACAAACCACTTGATGTCCTAATGTACTCAATTACTGTATTGTGCATTGTTTTTATTCATGGTGATGGAAAGTCTACAGCTACAAACCTAGACGACCAGCCTATGTGCAATATACACTGCTCAAAAAAATTAAGGGAACACTTAAACAACACATCCTAGATCTGAATGAATGAAATAATCTTATGAAATACTTTTTCTTTACATAGTTGAATGTGCTGACAACAAAATCACACAAAAATTATCAATGGAAATCAAATTTATCAACCCATGGAGGTCTGGATTTGGAGTCACCCTCAAAATTAAAGTGGAAAACCACACTACAGGCTGATCCAACTTTGATGTAATGTCCTTAAAACAAGTCAAAATGAGTCTCAGTAGTGTGTGTGGCCTCCACGTGCCTGTATGATCTCCCTACCACGCCTGGACATGCTCCTGATGAGGTGGCGGATGGTCTCCTGAGGGATCTCCTCCCAGACCTGGACTAAAGCATCCGCCAACTCCTGGACAGTCTGTGGTGCAACGTGGCGTTGGTGGATGGAGCGAGACATGATGTCCCAGATGTGCTCAATTGGATTCAGGTCTGGGGAACAGGCGGGCCAGTCCATAGCATCAATGCCTTCCTCTTGCAGGAACTGCTGACACACTCCAGCCACATGAGGTCTAGCATTGTCTTGCATTAGGAGGAACCCAGGGCCAATTGCACCAGCATATGGTCTCACAAGGGGTCTGAGGATCTCATCTCGGTAACTAATGGCAGTCAGGCTACCTCTGGCGAGCACATGGAGGGCTGTGCGGCCCCCCAAAGAAATGCCACCCCACACCATGACTGACCCACCGCCAAACCGGTCATGCTGGAGGATGTTGCAGGCAGCAGAACGTTCTCCACGGCGTCTCCAGACTCTGTCACGTCTGTCACGTGCTCAGTGTGAACCTGCTTTCATCTGTGAAGAGCACAGGGCGCCAGTGGCGAATTTGCCAATCTTGATGTTCTCTGGCAAATGCCAAAGGTCCTGCACGGTGTTGGGCTGTAAGCACAACCCCCACCTGTGGACGTCGGGCCCTCATACCACCCTCATGGAGTCTGTTTCTGAGTTTGAGCAGACACATGCACATTTGTGGCCTGCTGGAGGTCATTTTGCAGGGCTCTGGCAGTGCTCCTCCTGCTCCTCCTTGCACAAAGGCGGAGGTAGCGGTCCTGCTGCTGGGTTGTTGCCCTCCTACGGCCTCCTCCACGTCTCCTGATGTACTGGCCTGTCTCCTGGTAGCGCCTCCATGCTCTGGACACTACGCTGACAGACACAGCAAACCTTCTTGCCACAGCTCGCATTGATGTGCCATCCTGGACGAGCTGCACTACCTGAGCCACTTGTGTGGGTTGTAGACTCCGTCTCATGCTACCACTAGAGTGAAAGCACCGCCAGCATTCAAAAGTGACTAAAACATCAGCCAGGAAGCATAGGAACTGAGAAGTGGTCTATGGTCACCACCTGCAGAACCACTTCTTTATTGGGGGTGTCTTGCTAATTGCCTATAATTTCCACCTGTTGTCTATTCCAAATGCACAACAGCATGTGAAATGTATTGTCAATCAGTGTTGCTGTCCTAAGTGGACAGTTTGATTTCACAGAAGTTGGAGTTACATTGTGTTGTTTAAGTGTTCCCTTTATTTTTTTGAGCAGTGTAGTAATGTACATTTACATTAAGTGGTTTTTAAGGATAGTAAATTAATGGCGCACAAAAAGTAGTTGTTTTCCATGTTATTTGATCAAAAACGTGTTTTATTTGATGTAGATGTTTTGTGTCTTTGCCCATAATTTTGCACCTTTTGATGTAAATGTGGACAGGTTATTTCTGGATTCCATTAGAATAACAATTGCTGGGAAAGGGACAGGGCAACAACTCTTACAATTACAATTACTGAATACTGCAAGATACTGTTCTTAATTATACAACTACCTTTTTTTCCCAAAGCAGCATGCTGATTTTTTAAAATTAATATAATTTTTAAATTCAGATTTGTTCAGGGTGTTCTGCAGTACCCTCAGCACCCCTACTTCCCACAGCTATGACAATAACAAGACTATATACAAGGAGTACCAGTACCGAGTCAATGTGCAAAGGTACGAGGTAGTTGAGGTAATGTGTGCATGTAGGTACGGGTAAAAGTAACTAGGCAATCAGGATAGATAATAAACAGAGTAGCAGCATGTGAAGAATGTGAGAGTGTGTCTGTAAGTGTGTGTGTGTGTTGTCAATATGCATGTATTTTGTGTGTGTGAGCATATATGTGTGTGTGTATATATATATACACGTGTTGGAGTGTCAGTGTAGTATGTGTGAGTGTGTGGGTAGAGTCCAGTGAGTGTGCATAAAGCCGGTGCAAGAGAGTCAGTGCAAATAAAATGGGGTCAATGCAAATAGTCAGAGTAGCCATTTGATTAACTGTTCAGGAGCCTTATGACCACAGACTTCGTGCTCTGGTACCGCTTGATTTGACTCATTTTAAGTAGATGCATTCATGGAGTGTGTTGACCAACCATCCTTCATGTATTCACATTCAAGGGCCACAGGCTGAATACATGAAGGTGGTCTGTTGATGGTTGGTCAGTTGTCATAGTTTTCTATGACCTATTACAGCTGTCAAAGTAGGCACCATTGCAGTGTTTATGCTGCGCTCGTAACCAAGTGAGAAGTGAGAATTTACCATATACGACTGGGAAAAATTCACTTGTACAGCCCTCCAACAGGTAATTACTAGTGGGAAACTCATCCATCATCCTGAGCTTTCACATTCTGACCTCTGACCTCACCTATTAAGGAAAGTACCTTGATAATAGCATCTTCGGCAGTTAAATGCAACAAAACTTTATAAAAAGCAATCTATTAATATGTTTTTTTTTAACACTAATTTGTTTACAAGCATGATAGTTGTACGTTTAGTTGATGGTTTACGCAGCTTGAGGCCATTAGCTAATTGGCGCTTCTCAACGAGTTTAAAAGCATGTGAATGCATCCAACTGGTAAATTCCCACCTCCCACTTGGTTACGAATGCAACATTACGTGCGGCTGATTTTCTGGATCCCTCTTCCCTACAGCTAAAGGTCCCAAAGCTTCTGGCATGTGCAGGATTCTCTAATTTAGGCACAGTCTTTACTCTACTCGTAGAGAACAGGCTACTCCGGCGAATGGTGCTTGTTTAATAAAGTTTGATCAAAGCTGAATCAATGTCTGCAAGATCACAATGATAGTATTCTACATAACAGAACCGAATATAATAGCATAGTATAACGTTACTGTAAGACAAAAAAACATTACCTCATTGCTTATTGTGATAATGGTCGCATTTATTTCATGTGGCCAAAACTCAAGTGCGCCACTAGGCAAAATATGTGCTTTGAAACTAAACACAGGTAGGCTATGCTACAGTTCGTTAACACGATCTGCTCTTAAATTATCTCACTGTGCATAATTCAAAACAACACTGTATAACTCATGATCTAAATGCATATCCCCATGAATCTGATTGAGATCAAATGATTGGCATGCAGATCATGCATGGACGTTTCACCGGTAGAAAACGTGAAGAATTATCCATCACGATTGACAGTGAGAAACGTGAAGGGACAGTGACTACAAAAATGTGTGCGTAAAGTAGAGGTAAAGAAACACATGGGCAGAACGTGATTTGGATCTTCGGCTCTGGGGAAAAGGGATCCAGGGTGTTGGGACGGGGTAATTCTTCACGCAGGACAGGGGCGTTTACCTACGGATCCGTAGCCTCTTGCCTTTTTTGTAAGAGTTGAGTTTGTATCTGAAATGTGTCACTGAGGCAAGAGCCCAGTTCATGCTGGTTCAGTGCAATGCCCAGACCACACCAGGAAAACACTGGTTTTCAACTCAGGGTGTAAACCTTGGGCTCACTGCTATTCTGTGATTTGTGTGTGCATCTGTGGCTTGGTCACAGGGGTGTCAGGCCTGCTGGTGGGTAGTATCTTGGCTCCTTCAGTACCTGGGAAAGGGCCTGTTCTGCAGCTCTCGTACAAACACAGAGGTCCCCGCCTGAACCGGCCTGCTGCCATCGTCAGGCTCCGTGTAGTCGTGCCGGTGCCAGTTGTTACGCTTTTTCACTGCAAAGATAAGACAACAATTAATTGTTAAACTCTTGAACATTCAGAGACTCCGTGATCACAGCAGATACTACACAGAGCTAGCAGGGCTAGACTAGCTACTTAAGCGTCTGAGGAACATGGAAGCCTTGAGTTATGATTGTCTCCATAAACCATTTCACAAGCCCATAAAGCCCACGTCCTCCGCAGCCGAACAAGGGCCATGTTCAATCTCAATTTGATGATTACCCCACCATTGAATTATCCTAACAATGCCCCCCTCCGTATGCTCTGGGAGGTCAGACCCACTTTAGATCATAAATAGAGAAAGGGTAGACGTCTACCTTAGAGCCAACTATTCCCCAACTAGCAATTAAAATCAATTGTGCTGGAGTAATGCAGAGAGACAGTGTGTGGTGGATGGTACTTACTCAAGCAGGGTCCGTGTTGGACATCACAGTTGGGACAGTGGTAAACATCGATGTCCACGGCATGGTGCTCTTCCACTTGGACACAGCTGGAGCGGGAAGAGAAAAAGGAGACATTCAGATTCAGTTATAGAAAAGAAGCAGGTGCTCAACACAATATTCCACATCATACAGTGGCTTGCGAAAGTATTCACCAACCTTGGCATTTTTCCTATTTTGTTGAGTTACAACCTGGAATTAAAATCGATTTTGGGGGGTTTGTATCATTTGATTTTTACAACATGCCAACCACTTTGAAGATGCAATTTTTTGTGCGTGTGTGAAACAGACAAGAAATAAGACAAAAAAACAGAAAACTTGAGCGTGCATAACTATTCACCGCCCCAAAGTCAATACTTTGTAGAGCCACCTTTTGCAGCATTTAGAGCTGCAAGTCCCTTGGGGTATGTCTCTATAAGCTTGGCACACCTAGCCACTGGGATTTTTGCCCATTCTTCAAGGCAAAACTGCTACAGCTCCTTCAAGTTGGATGGGTTGCGCTGGTGTACAGCAATCTTTAAGTCATACCACAGATTCTCAATTGGATTGAGGTCTGGGCTTTGACTAGGCAATTCCAAGACATTTAAATGTTTCCCCTTAAACCACTCAAGTGTTGCTTTAGCAGTATGCTTAGGGTCATTGTCCTGCTGGAAGGTGAACCTCCGTCCCAGTCTCAAATCTCTGGAAGACTGAAACAGGTTTCCCTCAAGAATTTCCCTGTATTTAGAGTCATCCATCATTCCTTCAATTCTGACCAGTTTCCCAGTCCCTGCCGATGAAAAACATCCCCACAGCGAGATGAGAGATGTTGGGTTTGCGCCAGACATAGCGTTTTCCTTGATGGCCAAATAGCTCAATTTTAGTCTCATCTGACCAGAGTACCTTCTTCCATATGTTTGGGGAGTCTCCCACATGGCTTTTGGCCAACACCAAACATGTTTGCTTATTTTTTTCTTTAAGCAAGTGGTCCTATGGACAGATCCTTCAATCTCTGCTGTGGAGCTTTGCAGCTCCTTCAGAGTTATCTTTGGTCTCTTTGTTGCCTCTCTGATTAATGCCCTCCTTGCCTGGTCCGTGAGTTTTGGTGGGCGGCCCTCTCTTGGCAGGTTTGTTGTGGTGCCATATTCTTTCCATTTTTTAATAATGGATTTAAATGGTGCTCCGTGGGATGTTCAAAGTTTCTGATATTTTTTTATAACCCAACCCTGATCTGTACTTCTCCACAACTTTGTCCCTGACCCGTTTGGAGAGCTCCTTGGTCTTCATGGTGCCGCTTGCTTGGTGGTGCCCTTTGCTTAGTGGTGTTGCAGACTCTGGGGCCTTTCAGAACAGGTGTATATATACACTGAGATCATGTGGCACTTAAATAAAGTCCACCTGTGTGCAATCTAACTAATTATGTGACTTCTGAAGGTAATTGGTTGCACCATATCTTATTTAGGGGCTTCATAGCAAAGGGGGTGAATACTTGAAACAAGTTATTTTTTTCATTTCACTTCACCAATTTTCACTATTTTGTGTATGTCCATTACATTAAATCCAAATAAAAATCCATTTAAATTACAGGTTGTAATGCAACAAAATAGGAAAAACGCCAAGGGGGATGAATACTTTTGCAAGGCACTGTATCTCTAGAAAATATATACTGAATAGAGATATAAAAACGCAACAAGTTCAACGATTTTACTGAGTTACAGTTCATATAAGGAAATCAGTCAATTGAAATAAATTCATTAGGCCCTAATCTATGGATTTCACATGACTGGGCAGGGGCGCAGCCATGGGCGGGCCTGGGAGGGCATAGGTCCACCCACTTGGGAGCCAGGCCCAGCCAATCAGAATGAGTTTCTCCTCACAGACAGAAATACTCCTCAGTTTCATCGGCTGTCCGGGTGGCTGGTCTCAGGCGATCCCGCAATTGAAGAAGCCGGATGTGGAGGTCCTGGGCTGGCGTGGTTACATGTGGTCTGCGGTTGTGAGGCCCGGTTGGACGTACTACCAAATTCTCTAAAACGACATTGGAGGCGGCTTATGGTAGAGAAATGAACATTCAATTCTCTGCCAACAGCTCTGTTGGACATTCCTGCAGTCAGCATGCCAATTGCACGCTCCCTCAAAACTTGAGACATCTGTGGCATTGTGTTATGTGACAAAACTGCACATTTTAGAGTGGCCTTTTATTGTCCCCATCACAAGGTGCACCTGTGTAATGATAATACTGTTTAATCAGCTTCTTGATATGCCACACCTGTCAGATGGGATGGATTATCTTGGCAAATGAGAAATGCTCAATAACAGGGATGTAAACAAATGTGTGTGCAACATTTTAGAGAAATAAGCTTGTTGTGCGTATGGAACATTTCTGGGATCTTTTATTTCAGCTCATGAAACATGGGACCAATACTTTCCATGTTGCGTTTATATTTTTGTTCAGTATAGTTTAAAGTTAGGAAGTGATCCAACATCACCCTCAACACTCCTATTATTCTATTTCGGTCATTAGCTGTCACTTTGATATTGTAAATGCAAAATTACTATTCATAAATAACTGTTGCAAAATATAAATACTTCCCCCTCTCATTCAAGAAGGGATCCAGCCGAGTGGTCAACCAACTATGGTACACATCAACAGCCATCTATAGTAGGCAGGGACGAATCGGAAGTGTCAAAGTTGTCTTCTTTAAAACTTGTGAGCTGTGTTTAACTTTAGGAATGCAGGGAATCCAAATCTTACAGGGCTTTCTCCAAATCACATAAGGAAGCTATAAAAAGGTTTCAGCTCACTTCCTTTCATATACAGAACATCCTGCCATCCCGATCCAATGTCACATAAGGACATCATACTCCACAAGTCATTTCGACTAGGCTACCTTGGGCACTATTCAACAGGAAAATAGCTGTTTTACGCGTGAAACATAGTGACCAGCTTGCCTTAGAGCCTCATAAGCCTGCAGAGTAATGATCTCCAGAGGGCTCCACTGGCTTCAGCTATGGAAACGGTTGCCAAGGGGAAGTTAAGACAACTTCAACCCCCTCAGTGCAGAGTGAGACCTAGATCTATGCCACTCACTCAGCTAGAGTATTCCCATCACTTCCAGAGCAGCGCTATGCAAAGCAGCATGCATGAAACGGAATACTTTAAATCACAACACTGAGGGCAACATAGGCACACTCCCTGTGCCCTGTCAACCTAAAATAGCAGGAATATCATATGACATAGCTTTATTCTGTTTATGTCCAACGTTGCCAATTTGTTGAGCAGCGACTAATGTGGGCGGACTGGAGCTCCGACTTCATAGCGACAATGTCGTGTGTAATTGCGGGCTATTCTTTGGGTGCTGAAATCAGACTTTTTAAAATGTATTTTTACCCCCTTTTTCTCCCCAAATTCGTGATATCCAATTGCGATCCTATTACCATCTTGTCTCATCACTGCAACTCCCCAACGGGCTCAGGAGAGACGAAGGTCGAGACATGCGTCCTCCGAAACATGACCCGCTAAGCCGCGCTTCTCAACACCCACTCGCTTAACCCGGAAGCCAGCTGCACCAATGTGTCGGAGGAAACACTGTTCAACTGATCGAACCCCAGGCTGTAGTGACACCGCAACACTGCGATGCAGTGCCTTAGACCGCTGCGCCACTCGAGAGGATGAAATCAGTCATTTTACTTCATTTTATGTGACGTCCACACTAGTCGCCGCTCAACTCCATCGTAAATCCTTGAGTTTACAGGGGCTGAGTTGTGGCATCAGATGTTTGAGGTCTGTGTTTGGCATAGCCTGGGGCAGTGGTGGTAGGGGGCATCCATGATGCCACCGAGAGTGGGAACCGGCCCCGCTGAAGCAGCAGTGAAGGTGCCCACATCAAAGACTCCAGCTCTCCCTTCCCGCCAGGCTAGGCGGGTCACTGGTGTGGGGGGAGGGTGCCGCAGGTTAGGGAGGAGGAGAGGACCGGCCGACAGGCTGAAAGGAGTCTTGACGACACCGCCACTGATTTGTCATCTTATTTCAGCTAGTCCACATCTTGAGGACATAGCCCCCCTGAACACTGGTAACTAATCATACAGTGGCAGTGTGTGTTGTTGAGAATGTCTGGCTCGGAGAGACTGTCCAGAACCGACTACAACCCACACCCACTCATCCTTACGTCATGACTGCAGTCGAGCATCGGAATAGCGGGCCCTCTATTTTTCCACTCCGCTACTTCCACTCACTCTATTGCGGAGAGTGAAGTGCACATCGCTAATAACGACTCGCAGCTCATATTGTTTCCGGAGCAGGCTTATGATGATGAAACCACCACTCTCTTAGGAAACGCATGAGTCACCAGGCAACCAGTAGGCATGTATGTCACGCTGAAAGGAATTCCCAACCTAGTGTAAGACATTCAGGCTGGTTCAAAGGAGGGAGTAGGCATCTTACTTCCATTGGGTAAGCATTAGGCTGGGCATAAGAGGAAAATGTATTAACAATTTCACTGTACTATGAAAGGGGAGAAGACAAGGCAGTTAGGCTGAGCAACATAGAAAGACTAGGCATCTATCCTACAAGAACAGCAACAGAACAAATCAAAATAGGATATGGTTTCCAACCGTAAGGGGCAGAATAGATAAACAGCAACCACAGACAATACTGTATTCAACACCCTGTCAGGCTCACCACCAACCTGAGCTAGTGACGTGCTTCTGTTACTAGGCTATACCATTCTGCCTTTGTTCTCACCTCCTCTTCGGATATGGAGTGGAATGATGCAACTTTCTCAGTGATGACATGCTGATCACTGCTGTGGCTGGGAGTCTCTAGCGGCAGGTAGCCAAACATACAGCTAGAGCACTACCTCAGTGAGAGGGACTAATCAGAGAGCTTACAGAGGCAGACAAAGCATGGAGCATGATGGGAGCAATGAGCATGTGATAGGGATCCAGAGGTGAGATCTGCTCTTTTCTGGTGCCATGGTTACCCCCAGTCTCTCCCATTCATTTAACCCTCAATGGATTATCATTCCTGGGAGTCTAGCCCGCTCCCCTGTGCATGTGTAGTCTATTTAATATCATCATCATCATGTGAGAGAGATGCACCAGGTACAAAAAAGGATTTCAATATCCTTTACAACAGATACTTCTTACTCCCACTTATAGACTGTTGGATTTGCATCTTGCATGGCTGCTGTTGCTTTTCCCTACATAGACTACACACATCAGGCTGTTGCAGTTGTATTGCACCACTGTTGTTGTGGGAGGGGGAGATCATCTTTGGCAAAAACAAAAAGACTAGAGATTATACAAAAAAGTCCTGGCTGCGCATTAGTATTATTTTGACTTGAATGTGAAGCAGGGGTGTTCTGGTGGATGATCCCATTAAAATATCAAGGATACCGATAAAATACCACTAGCAAGGTACATAACTAAGCAGCACTCCAGAGATAGATAGGGAGCCAATGAGGGTGAAATCCTCTTCCTCTGCCCGGGAACCCACTGACAGATTGACGATCCGTCGCCTCATTGCCTCCACTGTAAAGAGACCTGCCATCTTGTCTGAGTGGTGTTGTTCATTAGTCAGATGTGCAGCCAGAGGTTCATTGTGTTGATCCAGGGAAGCAAGAAATCTGAGCAGACAATGGAAGAAAATAAGACATCTGTTAACCGTGAGGAAATGGTTCCAACATTCGGCTAGAAGAAACAGGTTCGTATCTGATGGCGCACAAGAGAATCCTGGAGAGCAGGGTGAGTGGGGGTCATTACATTTACATTTTACATTTTAGTCATTTAGCAGACGCTCTTATCCAGAGCGACTTACAGTTAGTGAATACATTTTTTTTTTTTTTTTTTTTTTTATACTGGCCCCCCATGGGAATCGAACCCACAACCCTGGCGTTGCAAACGCCATGCTCTACCAACTGAGCTACATCCCTGCCGGCCATTCCCTCCCCTACCCTGGACAACGCTAGGCCAATTGTGCGCCGCCCATGAGTCTCCCGGTCGCGGCCGGCTGCGACAGAGCCTGGATTCGAACCAGGATCTCTAGTGGCACAGCTAGCACTGCGATGCAGTGCCTTAGACCACTGCGCCACTCAGGAGCTCATCAGGTTGACATTGTGAATGTGCACACACCTGGGTGGGTTCACTTATGAAGCACCAATGGTTGCTCTACTTCAACCCCGCTGGCCTGATGTCAAAACATTTTCACTGCAGTTATTCCCCCCTGGCATCCGCATTGAGAAGTGATTCCAAACAAATAAAGCAATCTGTCAGAGGCAGAAGGCTGCCCTGTGCTTCACCTAGCCTGCTGGTGGCACAACAAAGATGTCTCCATGGTGACAGCAGACACACTGGTAGCATTCAGAGTCTCACTGTACAACATGTATGCTCACACACCTGTACAGGCAGACTGAAGCTGCAGCCCCATTCCTCTGCACCATACCGGTATTCTATTCTAGACAAAGCTGAATGTTGGTGGACAGCTCAAGAAGTGATGTTCCAATGAAATGATCTCAAATACAATTAAATCCAATTTTATTCGTCAAATGCTTTGTAAAAAAACAGGTGAAATGCTTACGGGCCCTTCCCAACAACGCAGAGAGAAAGAAAATAGAGAAATAATAGAAAAGTAGAAGACGTAATAATAAATACACAATGAGTAACGATAACTTGGCTATATACGGCTATGGGTACCAGTACCAAGTCGATGTGCAGGGGTACGAGGTCATTGAGGTAGATATGTACATACAGTGCCTTCGACCTCATGGCTTGGTTTTTGCTCTGACATGCATGGTTAACTGTGGGACCTTATATAGACAGGTGTGTGCCTTTCCAAATAATGTCCAATCAATTGCATTTACAACAGGTGGACTCATATGAAGTTGTAGAAACATCAAGGATAATCAATGGAAACAGGATGCACCTGAGCTCAATTTCAAGTCTCATAGCAAAGGGTCTGAATACTTATGCAAATAAGGTATTTTTTTTTTTCTTTTTACAAATTTGCTAACATTTCTAAAAACCTGTTTTCGCTTTGTCATTATGGGATATTGTGTGTAGATTGGAACACTAGTCACTTTAATAATGTTTACATATCTTGCACTACTCCTCTCATATGTATATACTGTATTCTATTCTATAATATTCTACTGTATCTTAGTCCATGCCGCTCTGTCATTGCTTGTCCATATGTGTATATATTCTTAAATTCCATTCCTTACTAGATTTGTGTGAATTGGGTATATGTTGTGAAATTGTTAGATATTACTTGTTAGATATTACTGCACTGTCGGAGCTAGAAGCACAAGCATTTCGCTACACCCGCAATAACATCTGCTAAACACGTGTATGTGACAAATACATTTGATTTGAACTGAATTATCTGAATCAGCAGTGACCAGGGTTAGTTTCTGACAAGGGACCTCAAACCTATCCCTCGGTCACACATTTACTCCTTCGTATTCTTTGGATCACATTTCCACCATATCAAATGATGAAACCATGGAATTTGTCTTCACTGACATTTTCAACCTCTCCCTGACCCAGTCTGTAATACCTACATGTTTCAAGCAGACCACCATAGTCCCTGTGCCCAAGAACGCCAAGGTAACCTGTCTAAATGACTATCACCCCGTAGCACTCACATCTGTAGCCATGAAATGCTTTGAAATGCTTGTCATGGGTCACATCAACACCATCATCGCATCATCACAACAGATCCACAGATGCCGCAATCTCTATTGCACTCCACATTGCCCTTTCCCACTTGGACAAAAGGAACACCTATGTGAGAATTCTGTTAATTGACTACAGCTCAGCGTTCAACACCATAGTGCCCTCCAATCTCATCACTAAGCTAAGGATCCTGGGACTGAACACCTCCCTCTGCATATGGATCCTGGAATTCCTGACGGGGCCACCCCAGGTGGTGAGGGTAGGCAACAACACATCCCCCACGCTGACCCTCAACACGGGGGCCCCTCAGGGGTGCGTGCTTAGGTCCCTCCTGTACTCCCTGCTAACCCACGACTGCGTGGCCGTGCATGACTCCAACACCATCATTAAGTTTGCCGACGACACTACGGTGGTAGGCCTGATCACCGACGATGATGAGACAGCTTATAGGGAGGTCAGAGACCTGGCAGTGTGGTGTCAGGAAAACAACCTATCCCTCAACGTCCGCAAGACAAAGGAGCTGACCGTGGACTACAGGAAATGGAGGGCCGAGCAAACCCCCATTCACATCAACAGGGCTGTAGTGGAGCAGGTAGAGAGCTTCAAGTTCCTCTGTGTCCACATCACTAAGAATCGATCATGGTCCAAACTAGGGCTGGGTGATATGGTCTAAAACATTTTATTTTATTTTTTATCGGATGGCCCTTGACTTTTTCCACATTTTGTTACGTTACAGCCTTATTCTAAAAAGGATTAAATACATAAAAATCCTCAATCTACACACAATATCCTATAATGACAAAGCGAAAACAGGTTTTTACAAATGTTTGCAAATGTATTAAAAATAAAAAACAGAAATACCTTCTTTAAATAAGAATTTAGACCCTTTGCTATGAGACTCGAAATTCAGCTCAGGTGCATCCTGTTTTCATTGATCATCCTTGAGATGTTTCTACAACTTGATTATTGTCCACCTGTGGTAAATTCAATTGATTGGACATGATTTGGAAAGGCACACACCTGTCTATATAACGTCCCAAAGCCATGAGGTCGAAGGAATTGTCCGTAGAGCTCCGAGATAGGATTGTGTCGAGGCACAGATCTGGGGAAGGGTACCAAAAAATATCTGCAGCATTGAAGGTCCCCAAGAACACATTGGCCTCCATCATTCTTAAATGGAAGAAGTTTGGAACTACCAAGACTCTTCCTAGAGCTGGCCGCCCGGCCAAACTGAGCAATCGGGGGAGAAGGGCCTTGGCCAGGGAGGTGACCAAGAACCCGATAGTCACTCTGACAGAGCTCCAGAATTCCTCTGTGGAGATGGGAGAACCTTCCAGACGGACAATCATCTCTGCAGCACTCCACATACCAGGCCTTTATGGTAGAGTGGCCAGACGGAAGCCACTCCTCAGTAAAAGGCATTTGACAGCCCGCTTGGAGTTTGCCAAAAGGCACCTAAAGACTCTCAGACCATGAGAAACAAGATTCTCTGGTCTGATGAAACCAAGACTCAACTCTTTGGCCTGAATGCCAAGCGTCACGTCTGGAGGAAACCTGGCACCATCCCTACGGTAAAGCATGGTGGTGGCAGCATCATGCTGTGGGGGTGTTTGTCAGCGGCAGGGACTGGGAGACTAGTCAGGATCGAGGGAAAGATGAACGGAGCAGTACACAGAGATCCTTGATGAAAACCTGCTCCAAAGCGCTCAGGACCTCAGACTGGGGCGAAGGTTCACCTTCCAACCGGACAACGACCCTAAGCACACAGCCAAGACAACGCAGGAGTGGCTTCGGGACAAGTCTCTGAATGTCCTTGAGTGGCCCAGCCAGAGCCCAGACTTGAACCCGATCTAATATCTCTGGAGAGACCTGAAAATAGTTGTGCAGCAATGCTCCCCATCCAACCTGACAGAGCTTGAGAGGATCTGCAGAGAAGAATGGGAGAAACTCCCCAAATACAGGTGTGCCAAGCTTGTAGCGTCATACACAAGAAGACTCTAAGCTGTAATTGCTGCCACAGGTGCTTCAACAAAGTACTGAGTAAAGGGTCTGACTACTTATGTAAATGTGATGTTTTTTAAAATTTATAAATTAGCAACAACAAAAAAACAACTGTTTTTGCTTTGTCATTATGGGATATTGTGTGTAGATTGATGAGGAAAAAAACAATTTAATCAATTCTAGAATAAGTCTGACCTATCAAAATGTGGAAAAAGTCAAGGGGTCAGAATACACATATATTAGTTTCTCTAAATAAGCTTTGTTGCACAATTAAAGGTCAATACACTGCATTTCAAACATGAATTCAGGGCTTGTAAAATTATACATTTGCTAAATATAAGCCTTCAACCATAAGACCCACTAATAAAATAATTAAATTATCAAAATAGTTTACCCTTATTTTTGGTAATAATCACTGATCTGGCTTTCAAGTCTGTCTATGAAAATGCCCTTTCTTACAAATGTAACCAGAAATATGCACATCCACTAATAATGACCAACTTCTGGTAGCAGGCATTATAGAAAATTAAACACAGGTTTCTCAAGCACAAGCCCATTGCTAGTGAGTAGCCAGCTAATCTTTATATTTAATGTATACCCAACTTGGATCTATTTGGTGCTAACAAGGTAGAACAGTTGAACGGTTATGAATACAGTCTCCAACTGTTTGAACAACATAGCCTGTTCACTTTGTTTAGGTGCCACCAACCTCGTGTGCTACATGTACATTTTACCTCATACCTGTTACGGAGTCTAGTTGATAGGTAATCGACTAGTTGGACTGTTCCCCAGACTCCAGGCGTAGGCATTTGTACAAGGCTTAACAAGGCTATTGAACTGAACATTGGTGTCTGTCTTTATTCCTTAATCCAACATATCATACAGAAACATGGTATCAGAAGTGGCTCGGAAAACACACGTTTGTTATTTTTGTAGCTAAGTACAGTATAGG